GGCAACATAAGGTAGAGAAAACACCCAAAAAATAAAAATGAGCATGAAGCATCATTCTATGACAGGTCGTCAATGTGTTATATTAAAGCTAGGAGTGGAGGAAAGATTAAAAATGTGACTTGCGAACATCAATACTAGCTAAGCAGATGTTTGACATTTCAGTGTCATAATCCTGTAATAATCATTGACTTTTTCCAGGAAATTTTAATTCTATCTAATGTTCCATTTATGATGATGACAAATTACAATTTCAAGGTAAATGGGAGTTGAGTATTGATCATTCCATAGGATGAAAGACAACTATTATTCAGAAAAATATGCTACCAAAGTAAAATATATCTAAAGAGAAAATTAATCATCGACTAAGAAAGAATGGTATTCAACATTAAAAAATAATAATGCAACCTTTAAGGAACTGCCCAGCTCAGGGAATTGCTGTATTTTTTGCCTCAGGATTAAATTTCACTTGTTTTTCACACATGTTTTTTTATGGGATATGTAAATGAAAATGGTGCGATCCTCCAGACTGATGTGGCAGACAGTGAGGCTGATGTGTTCCTACAGAGTGTTGTCTAATGACCCCGTCGGCCCCAAAAGGCTAACTGAAACCCACCTTGGTCTTGATATATTACTTTACACACCCAGCGATCACAATGGCAAAGTGTGACATTGCACATCGCTTGGCAGGAACACGATGCTTCTTACTACAACTTATAAACAGACACGCTCACATTTATGTGAGCATGTGCTTCTAACATCTGCCAGCCACATCCCTAATATCCCAGCCACCATCACCTTCACCCCCATTTCTCCCACTAGACATTTTTCCATTTGCACCTCTTTTCCGTCTCTTCTCGACTGAGGTGTACAAATCAGCTTGACAAGGAACATCACTTCTTGTCACTCAACTCTTTTCCTCCTCCCCATTTCCATGTTTTTTTTCTCTATCACGGGAATATGATGCTATTATACATAAATGAGAAGCCTGTAATACAGAGCAGGCATTTTTAGTCTCCCACAGACTTAGCCTTTGGTTTTAATGGATGGATAGAAGGAGAGCAGTTTGTAACTAGATTGCTTGCATAGAGCCTCTGCTAGACTGTTTTCCTTGCTAGACACACTGAATGAGTCAATTTGAATATCAAAAGTGAAAACTGGGAATGTGTGAAATACAAGTTGATCATGAATACATTTCAGGAGAGAAGACAGGTCAGAGGTGGGAGTGTTCGGAATGGGAGTGCCTGCTGAGAAAAATTACAGGTTTAAAGTATCTATGTTTGTTTATGTGCTTATCCAGGGCAGTAATGTGGTACCATACAGGCTGTGTTACTGTCAAATGTGGAAGGGTTGACGCTTCAAATGTGCCCTGGGGCAAGGCAATATTGTACGGGACAAAGTAAATGTAAATGTATTATGGAACACTGAAAGACTGCAGTAGTTGTTTAGATCTATTCACGCGTCACCTCCCAGATGACCACCGGGGGACTCTGATGCCTTCACAAACAGAATGGGATTATTAAAAGGAACAGGTCAAGGCTGTAAAAGTCTTGTGACAGGGAGACATATAGAGGAGTGTGGTTGAATGGAAACACGTCTGTGGATGGAAAATTGCCATTTTCATCAGTTATTCATGGAAAATTTGATTGAATCTGGGCGCAGTTCTTACACTCTGAAGCAGAACTCTGCAAAGGATACGAAAGCCCCCGACACAGTACACAGAGACTCATTCTAGCAGGCAGCTTGTGTATGTAAAAACACCTTAAGCACACTGAAACTTGTTTCAATACATTCCTTTAGATCACATACTCCAGATGTGGCCACATATGGAGCTGTAATGAAGTCTTTAGATGAAGCACTGAACTAATTGAAGCATGAACAATGAGAGGGAAAACAATTAAGTCCCTTTGTGTCATTGTGTGTATGTGGGACAAGTTAATGTCCTGCATAGCTGAGCACATGTGTGTAATAATGATATATGGGAGGTCCATGCAACACTCAAGAGAAAAGAATTACAGATATTACAGATTAATTTCAAAGCCATTAAGGCTTTGAGAGAGTAGACAGTTTACAGAAACATCCCACATGCTCTGGTCCATATTTACAACAGGTCTGGGAACTGCATGCAGACTGATGAATTACTGCAGCCGCTCAGAGTACGATGTATTGTACTCTGATAAAATCACATAAAATGTTTATGGATAAACAACACATAGGCGGTGTCATTCATTTCTATATGCTTACATCTCCTTTGGCCAACTTGGTAATAAATCTGGATGTCTTAAAAGTGGTAGGATGCACATCCTAGATATGCTTGGAACATCTGAGCACCTTTTTCTCTCTCAAGAGGCATCTTTAAATTCTGGCCTCCTAGCTACTGCTGCTCTCCTGGGATACCCTACTGCTTGTAGTTCTTTGGTGTGCAGGCTGTTGTTCCATCTGAGAAGTACACCCCTTCGTTCGTTATAATCTTTAAGCTTTATACTTATACCATCATGTGGAAAGCTTTAACTGACATGTTTCCTTTAACAGTTTAGTCCATGTGCAACTGGAAGTGCACATGTGGTAGAAAAAATATTTACAGGTTTTTAAGAATATACCTTCACTGAAAAGATTCTAGCACTCACTTGAGTTTTTTTTTATTACAAAGGTATAAATGTGCCGAGGGGAAATGAAAATTACTGTTGCAAATAAGCAAACTTGTCAGAGCAAACTTTGTACTCTTATAAATGGTCACAAAAAGAAGGTTTATCCACGTGTAGAAACTCAAAAATGGCTAATGCTTACCGACATGCTAGAGACTAACTGCTGGATATCTTCTTTAATTGTAACGACTGGTTCTTGTTTTGGAAGGCTGCTGTGATCTTAAGTGCAGCACCACTGGTGCTGTGTGATGTCTCTTTCCCTCACATGTCCTTCCTCTATTGATCAGTCTCAGCTCTTGATGGGTCTTGTCCTTGTAATGTTGTTCCCTTGCAGCTGGGAGTACAGCCTGGAGGGGGCTTTTCAAAACAGGCCATTGTTTTTCCTCTTTGCCTCCGATACATTAAACTCAGTAACCACGGATGCTATCTGACAGAGGGTCTCCATTATAGAAAACCCTTTCTCCTGTTTTTCCATCCTCTTAATCAATTAACATCCCTAAAAAGTCCCTTCTTTGTCTTTCTCTGCATGTTGCATTCTCAAACTCTAATAGGATATCTCATGGATCACTGTTGCATTGACACAAATACATGTATGACATATGCCAAAAAAAGCTGAACCACCTGCATTGTTTGAAAGTCCATTTCAACTGTCTCAAAAGCTTAGAGGACAAGAAATGGAAAATATACAAGTTGATCAAAACTATTATGACAGTTTTTTGTAATTAATGACAATAAATACTTTTTTTAAAAATGTGTTCATATTGTTGCTAACTTTATGCAAAATAAAAGTTTACGATAATTAGACTAAAAAGTGACTTGGGGTTCATTTTGAAAACATATTCAGGGATTGTTACTAAAAAATTCAGAAAATTCAGAGGCAATTTGCGCCCAAATTATTTAAGGATCAGCAGCAGTAACCTTGTTTTTCATTATAAACCTCACAATTTTTATGCATTTGCCAATGGTGCATAATAGGATGTAAAATGAACAATCCAAATATTTTTACCAAGGCAGTGTTAGTCAATTTCTGAGTTAATAACTGTTTTATTTCCTTCAGACTATTTTGTGCGAAAAGGAATTTAGGAAACGTCAACTCGGGGGCCAAAAGACACACATGACTAATCTTTAAGTGTTGAGTAATCCCAGAGCCAGAAATATTCATCAACTCAATCTCATTTCTAACTCTTTTCCTCACCCTTCGTCCCCAGAAAGTTTAATTTAAAAAGAGAGGAAAAAGCCCATCCCTGTACAGTCTCAATACATATTTTTTCTAATTTTTCCCCTCAGAAATCTCTTAATGGCTTCTTCACTGGACCCTGATGAAAACAATGACTTTTAACCTTCCTCCTTCTCACTCCCACCACCCCCTCCATCCATCTTTCCTTCCTTCCATCACAGTCGACTTATTTCACTTTCTAAATGATTTCTTACTCTTTCAATCTCTTTTCAGCCATTCATGCCCTGGCATGGGCTTGTGGCCCGCACAACGCATTGTGACAGGTGAAATGAAAGCCCAGAGAAATCTCATCTTCTTATAAACGCTCCGAGGCATTCAGTCGGTCAAAAAAAATATTTCTCCACCTTCTTTCTTAGGCACCGACAGATGGAAGAAGAAAAATGTGAGCCTTTGTATGAAGAGCTATTCCGATTTTCTTTTATCCACAGTTAATCTATGTTGTTCTTCCATTTTTTATTAACACACTTGCCTCTGTGAGTAGCATTTCTTGTAAAAAAATAAAATAAAATAAAAAGAACTACAGTCTGCATTGTAGTGGTCTTAATAATTGTTCATAGCTGTTAATAAAAAGTCAGCTTTTTTTTGGTGGCTATACTTAAATCAAGCCAGGATTTAGCCTCTAATGATCAGGATTTATTACACAGAAACAATGGTTGTTAAGAAGTAATACAAATCAAACATACATTATTGTTTTGAGCCATTTTAGCCCTTTTTATTTTTTCTCAATCTAAATAAAAAGGGAGTTTGGCGTGGAAAGAAGAAATAGCTGCAGACTGTTGTGAGCAGCCTGTTATGCATTGCTTATTGAAACCTCAAGGTCATAAGCAGAGGAACAAAGAGCTAGAGAGAGAAAAACAGAAGGGAAAGGGGCAGCAGAACAGTTTGGACTCTCAGTTTTGTCTTGCTGCGTAGCGCTGTCACTGTGCCATTCTGTGAGTGTGAACGTGTGACAGAGAGCTTTTCAAAGCCTCTCCCTGTAGGCGTATTCTGAAGTCACGCCGCTCTCTGAATTTCGTCAACCTCTTGCTCTATTGCCACTTGGCTCTCCATGCTCCTGTTGTCTCCCTTTCTGTTCCAAAGTGCAACTCCTCAAACTGTGACATGCCCTTCATTCTTCACTAAACTATAGTCACCTCTCCTTCATAGTCTTTGCTCCAGTTTTTACTGGACTCCCACCCTGTTGACCAAAGAGGACCAAACCACACTGACCTCACCTCATGACCTCCTGGTATTCTATTGAATTCCTCTTCATTTTACTTAAAAAAAAAAAAAAAGTTACATTTTCTACATACCACCTCCATGCTAGTATTTTCTTTACTAGACCTCAATCTACAAATTGTGTTTGTGCTGCTGTTTTATCTTGGGAATTAATCTTCACTACTTCAAATTAAACTGTCCTTTTTTTATATATTTCCCTGACTCTTTACCATCGATATCTTTTGCTCCCTCCACCTCGGTCCTTTTTTGTCTCCTCTGCTCCTCACCTTGCCACCTATCTGCATTTTTCTGGTCCAGCTTTTAGGCAGTCCGTGTTGAGTTTCCATTCCTCAGTTCATCTATTCAGCCCCACTCCTCACCTTGTAACTCTCCACTCTTGCTGTAGAGTTCTCGGCGCTGCTCTCTCAGGTAGGCACTCATACTGATGGCATGGGAAGATGATTCAAACCTACATGACACAAAAAGAAGAAAGTGGTGGGATTTTAATACAGCAACAGACCACTGAGATATACCAACATGCGTCTCGATATATTTTACAATGATGAGATTATATATTATATATCTGATGTTACCATGTGACAACAGCTGGTTTCAACAATTGCTGTGATTGGTCAGAGTTTAACATATACAAGTAAAAATCAATTCAATTGTTACTGTTGCACAAGTCCTTCATTATGATGCTTACTCTGAAGAATAGAATAATTCCCTTTAACAAGATGTCTTTGGTTTTTATCATGGGAGTTGTTATTGTGAGAAAGTTTAAAAAAAATTTTTTTTTAAATAATTGTTTTTCTACCAAGAAAACAAACTGGAACAAAAGTACAAATCATCTAGTAAAGGGTGTAAATCTTACTTGAAGAGGGACTGCTTGGCACGCTGTGGTTTTTTCTTTGCAAAAAAGGCAGCAAAATCACTGCCAGTGCTGGCATAGGAAAGCTGAGCCGAGGGCTCTGTGGCACTGCGACTGTTCTTCACATCCAGATACTCCATAAGCAGAACCTAAACGACACAGAAATCACTCAGTCATGAGCTAGAAAGTAGGAAAAGGCTAAATAAATCAATTAATTACATCCTTCTTACACTGATGGGGGGGACAATCGTTAAACAGTAACAAATTTCAAGTGATTGTTAGGGCTCTTGTTTACTTAGACCAGTTAAAAGAAAAAAAGATGGAAAGCTGAGATTGAATAGAAAAGAAAAAGCTGCTGGGTTGTTAAATAATCCATCCTGTACTTATGCCAATGTAGCATAGTAGCAACTACAGCCTAAAGCATAAGTCTAGCGTGGTGATTTGGGCCTATTTCAAACTTCCAAAAGTGAAGATTGTCCAAATAACCCAATTAAAAAATGTCCCAAGCTCTGAAATAGGCAGAAAAAGGAAACTAATCAAGAGCTTGAGCTGGTGGCTTTTAATATTAATTGCTGTCTTGGCACAGAAGTTACTAAATGTTTTCACAGAAAAACATTGGTGACATGTCTGTGAATGATGAAATCACATAAAACCAGGAGAAATCAAACACAAAAACAAGTATACCCGTGTGCACGTAAATTTTCAAATAACTGAATTAAAAGTTAGGCAGAGGTTCATCAATTTGCCAAACCAAGATCAGTGAGGTCCTCAATAAAAAAAAAAAAGCTTTTTCCTAGTTAGGTTGAGGAGGTTAACCAAAAATTCATGTTTTTCAACAATAAGAGGGAACCCAAGAACTCCCGCATACACATGGAGAACATGCAAAGTCCACACAGACAGGTAGACCCCAGGAATCCTCTCCCTGTCAGGCCACAGTACTAACCACCACACCTACTGTACATGCAGCCCTCACATAAAAAATACAGATGTTTTGTTTCATATTTTTCCCCAATACTATCATCTATGGCACACATAAATGAACAAGTCAGGGTATCTGGAGAAAGGTATTTAAGGAGGGAATGATTCACTCATGGAACTCATGGCATGAGCTCAGGAACTCAGCCTAACTTAGCCGTAATGGATCATTTCTGCATTATCAGCTCCAAAATGAAAAAAGAGAAAACAAAAGTAGGCCAAATGAAATAATCCACTGATAACATTTTTTATTTCCAAAATGGCATTCATAACACTACCCCATGACTTTAACATACTTGTCATATATATATTTGAAAAAAATCCCATCTCTGATATGGAGGCTGCTGACAAGACGGCGTGCTTCTGATGATCATCATAAAATTTCTTGCCTTCCAGTTTCCTGATACGTCTGCATGATCCATGGTGGAATCCATCAATGTCTTATCACGCTTCATAAAAATCTTATCAACCTCCAACAATAGTCTGGAACAAGCATACTGAAACTCTGGCCAGACATAGAAAGTTCACTTCCTCTACTCCATCATTCTATCTGTACACTCCCACTGTTGCTTTCATTTGGGCTCATTTTTCAAAATCTCTTTAGGCTTCATCTCTCATTTTTCACATTTCTATTTTTTCTCTCCATCTCCGTCTACCCTCAGTTCATCTTTTCCTTTCTTTCCCACCCTTCATTCTTTTCTCTGTGCATACATATGTTCCAAAATAGCCTCCCATATCTAATAGCTCCATAATTTAGCAGGATCATTTAGCCTCTGTGTGTCTAATTTTGAAGCGCAGTGTGGGTCAGCCCAGAATGGGACAGGAGTAATGGCTGAGCAGATGGAGATCCATCCCAACCATAATGATGTAATTAACACTGCAGAGAGCACCCCCTGTCATGCATGGGAAAGCCTTCACGTCATTGAAATCAGTTCCAAAATCACACCTCTATAGTCCTCTTCCAGCAAATGTTGGCACATCGGGTGAAATACTTTGTCCGAAAGAATTCATGGCTTGAAACGCATCATTTATACAGTAAAATTGTGTGCTTTTTTTGCTTAAAAGATGAGAATGTACACTTTTACATCTTGATAGTGAACTTGTTTTAAGTTAAAGGACTGTGAGGTCTGGGGACCTGGTCACTAATTTTCTTGTAAATACTCATGCTAAACTCCAATCTTCACCACACATGTAATTACTTTTTAATACACTTCACTCATCAATGGCTGAGCTTGATGCCCTAACACAAAAGCCCTCTCCAAATGGCAACACCAGAGTGACCACTTGCCACTAGCCCCATGCCGCAGCTAATCCTATCAGTGTATTAATTACTAATGATGAGCCGATGGAGCGAATCCTCCACTTGCTTGCAAGCTAACACCCAAGTAGACTTAATGAAATGCCAGCACTGGGCTGATGAAGGGGCTCCGACCCTTCTTAAATTGCATTAGCCCAGAGACAGAGTGAACTTTGGAGGCAATTAACTGGACTGTTAGGACATAACGATAGAGTCAGAGAGGGACAGGAGGCAGAGAGTAACACCAAAAGAGAAAACGAAGGAGGAAGAGATAACAGAGGAAGAGTTGAGCAGAATGGAAAGTGCAAAGGATTATAAGCAGGGAATGAAAACCGAACAGAATGCTAATGAGAATTTGGAGCACAGAAAAATAAGAATGACAAGAACTACAAGAAACCGATAATCCCAATGAGTTAAATAACTAAATGGTATTTGTGTATTTATCACAGCTGTGGGAATTTTAAAAGAAAATTGGTTTCCCAACCCTGATTACAGGTAGGTCAAACTTGTTCTGGTGTAAGGGAACTCAGTTTTTGTCTATCTGCTAATTTATCTTCCAAAAAGCACAAAACCAGAGTTAAACTGAGTTAATCAATCCAACATTTTTGTTTACATGACCATCCTTTTTCCAATAATTTCCATGTCTCATATAGAGAAGAACACTGCTACAAAGCAAATATACAGCAATTTTGTATTTTATTCGTGCACTGACTACGAACCCTGCACTGAATCAGATCAATTATATAGTATTTATATAGTATTTTACAGAACAAAGATGCATATGATTTAAATAAATTATATTAATAGCAGACAAAGTCATATTGTTGTCCCACACTGGGAAATGCAACTCAACTCTGTCTTAAATGTTAATGTCAATTAATGTGTGGGCTCCCTGTAATATGACAACACCGAATATACATGAAATAAATTCCCATTGCACTCAAAAGTCCACACTTAACGAGGACTAAAAGTTTGGAGGCAACAACAGAGCTGACACTTATGTAAAATGAATAAAAGAGAAGGAAGAACAAAAAGTAGAGATAAAAAAAGACATAGGGTGAATAGGGAACAACAAGAAACCACATGAAATCCTTTATGTTTCCGACACACTGGTGACACAAATTGTTGACACAAATTGGTGACACATAGAGAATAGGCGGGAGTGAGAATGGAAGTGTAGCAGACAGGTTAAAGACCTTCACAGATGGCGTCCAGCAGCATGATTCTGACTACAAAAACAGAGAACTGCCTCAGTGCCTGCACCATGAAGGACTCAGCAACACACATCTTCACAGATCCGAAAGTAAACAAATTCAATGGTCCACAATATTAATTAGTAATTGGCTCCACAGCCCAGTTCCAAATAGCTGGCTTTTCCAATTTAAGAAATCTCTAGAGCACTAATAAAGTCTGACACAGATACTGAGAACAAAATAAACTTGCGTCTTTCTTACTTCACATTTCTGACTTGTTTTAATTGTAAGAGTGGCAAATTAGCCAATCAAAAAATGATAGCAACAACTAAACTATGCTATGGAATGCCATACTGACATCGCCTAAAAGGTCACCGCGAGTTTATTAGCAAACTGATGAAACGGATAGAAAGTGCCTCAATTCACCAAAAAATAAATCAATCAATGAGAGCAAATGACCATCAAATGAAAAAAGGAGATATGTAATCATGAGGTCCAAAATCTTCACAACTCATTACACAAGAAAGTGCAGGAGTTCGGAACTGTGTTTGTCTGTGTGAACGGCCACACAAACAACACAACTCTCTCGACAGGGCTCCCCTGACAAAGACAATCATTTCCACCACAACTAGTCAACCAAAATCACTCCGAACACCACGGCTTGGGTCTCGTCCCAAACCACAATCAGTCCAATGGGTTGAGTGCTAAGTTAAATTAAAAAGAAGAAAAGCTTAATGGAAGTCTGCCTTTGTAATTCATTAGCAGCATGCCATCTCTTACTTTCACACTAAAATGTCCCGATGCCACCCTTTGTGCTTGGAGGAAGAGTATACTCATCTTCCATTCTGTCCATTAGGGCCCAAACAGCTAAAGAATCAGAGCAATTAAGAGAGCTTTGCTCAAAGCGCTGCAGGTGAGCACTTGACACTGGGTAAACTCAGTACTCAATTGTTTAAAATTAAATGCATAAATATTGCTTTATTTTCCATCTTCTTGTTCCATCCGTCTCCCTCGATTTAGTAATCTTAAAAGCAGGGGCAACAACAATCTCAGCTTTGTTCTTCTCTCAAGGCTTTATTGAAATCGGCTGTTTTCTCACCAAATCCCTTGGCAAGCGTCTTGTCACAAAACATATTGACTGATATCCCTTGCTGCTCGCTTGAAGTTTAAACCCCAAAGTGTCCTTGGCCGTCAAAGAGAGGGTTCTGTATACATCCTGTATTGATTGTGCTCCAGAAACTTCAATAACCTCTACGAGTTCTGACGGAGCTTGAGCCACAGCCACTCTGTCAGCGCTGAACTCCTGCTAACTGCGGGGCTCCCCACCTGGAGCTGGCTGCGTGCACTCAGACTGCTGAAGGCCGTCCTGTAGACCGATGGAAGAAGATGTGCCTGTTCCCTGAAGGATTGTGTCTTTGAGGGTTCGAAAGATGTTTGGCAAAATGGCAGAAGTAGCAATAGATCTGTACATGATGAGGAATTGTAAACTTTTTACAGTGGTCACAATTTCTATTAACTGCAACAATAAACAACAGGATCTGATCCATTCTGCTGTAATTTTGATATATTGGAAGAAAGCCATGGCGGAAGAAAGAAAGGAAGAACGCTAAGAGAGAGGAACCTACAACACCACAGCGCAGACTTCTCTGCGCTCCAGTTAAGTGTAAATATGACAGTGCTTTCCAGGGTAAAATAAATGTGACACGTTGATTAAAACGGTGGGTAAGAACTGCACAGCCATGTCTCTGCTTCACATCTAATTAAAAGAGGTTTATTGTCTCCTGGCTCTTCTTTGACACTTTAGTCTGCTCGATTTTCCATCTACTGATGAGTCAAAAGAATACAGAGCCACTCGTATATTTATACAGTTCAGTTATACAATTCAGCCTTCTATTCTTGGTTAATCTATATCAATGAAGGGACTAATTTTATTTCTAATTAGTCAAGGGCTATTTACTTATTAACCAATTACTTAACTTTTTAACTTATTATGCAACACATAAAAGTAGAAGATTCTGTAAGAAATAAATCAAAGTAGCAGTTTGCAAGGTATCTCAAAACCTACGAAAAAGTTTTGGAGGACAAGATGTACCAGAAAGCATCCACATATGAGATTATCTCAGATGTGGAACTCAGTTTATCCTCTATTCAATTTTCATCTTTACTTCAAGCCCATAGCAGAGTTGTCAGTTTTAATAGCTTGCATTCTTATCGGTACCATTGTTAAAAATGATATTTTCCATCAGTATTTATGCATATTTCTAAATGCAGTTTTAAAGTTCCTTGCAAATAGCAAGACACTCATTAAAAGTGAACGATCTAAACTTTGGTCACATAGACAGAGCAGACAATGTACATTTTCAACAGTCACATACTCACAAATTCTTGCAGAACCCACAAATGGCAAGCTAATTAAACTTTCAGCCTTCAAACCAAATGGTAGACAAGGTGAAAGGGTGATGGACACCAGCAGCAACACACACCCAGCGGTGTAAAACACCCACTGGTTGGCCTTAATTGCGAGTGCATATGGATGTTTGTGAACAGTGGTGTTTTATGATCCAATGAGTTTGACAAAGTATTATGACTTCAGACATAATTTGAGGAAATTAGTGCATTTTCCAATCAAATACGTTAGCTGAGAGGGTCTTGATATGACTCTCTGAACTGAGTGATGTCATGTTATAATTTAGAAGTCAAAAGAGAAGTAAACATTCCCGGAAACACACAAAGTGTGATTTGTATGGTAAACCAAATGCTGTGTTTAACGGAATTTCGGTTCCATAAGGAGATGAGAAAAAAAAAAGATTGGAACAGAGAGCAGCTTGGTTTTTTTTGTTGTTGTGATTTTGTTGTGTAGATGCTAGCATTAATTGATAGTGTCAATAAATAAAACTACTTCCACATTTGACATAAAGACAGTTGAAAACTGTGCACTGGCAATAAAGCACATCTTCCTATACCAATAGTACTGATTAACCAACTGTTTTTCTGCTTTGGATCAATACTTTCTCACAGAAATTGACAACCAGCAGAAGCATCTGGAGCATTTGTGAACAGGGATTGGAACTATTACATGAATCCTGACTTTCAAAGGCTTGTTTACCCACTACCCTCCTAAGCCTGACCGGGCCTCTGTCACACACTGATGAACGGCGTTCCACTGCCAAGGCCTTGTAACTGGGTGCACCCGATGTCTCTGTCAGCTCTTGCATCAGTCTACTGATTTGTCATGTGGAAAGGTCAAGCTGGTTTCTCCACCTCTAAATGGGGAGGGGCAACAGCACATATCAAGAGATTTCTGTAGATGTCAGATCTGTGAACTGCAATAAGAGGCACATGTCAGCTGGGTATTCAAATGATTTAGCTGGGGGGAAAAAGGAAAGATATCCATCCATAAGAAACAGTCTGCGGTTAAAATGAAGAAGCTCAAATGAAAATAAAATTACATTTACAGAGATGCTTCCTTTATCGGAAATTACACTGTTTAAAGGCCCAAGCCTTTCCAGACCGTGAGGAGGGCATTTTTCCTTCGTTGAGCCTCCACATGAATTACAAAAAGAAAAAATCACTTTTGAATTAAATTACATGTTTTGCATAAATTGCGTGCAAAACAGATGAATGACACATTGACAAAACAAAAAAAATAACAATCAAAGACAAAAAAATGCTGTAGGCTCCAGGTTGCCAGTGGGCTTTGAGGTTTGAGATTAGATGTGGCTCAGTATCCAATAAACTTTAACAGAACTACTGTGGGAGCTGTAGAAATTAAATTTCTCTCACTGCTGATATGTGATTCTGAAAGCCACAGTGGGCTAAATGAAGGGGGTGACGGGGAGTGTGGGAGCACCGAGAAAAAAAGAAAGATAGATAATGAGACTAAGGAGGAAATTACATGGACCAGGAGGGATGAGCACAAGGTATTGGGCATTACACAAACTGTGATACAGGGGCTGCAGGAATGATGTTGTGGTAGGAAGGAGCAAGGGAAATGGAAATGCAGAGTGGGAGAAAAAGACAAATGAACAAGCAAGAGATGATGGAAGACTGGATGAGGGGTCTTCATATTGATACAATCATTCAGGAAATAATAACACAAGCAACTGAGTATGAAAATATAATTCCACAAAATGAATACTGTAATCAAGAGATTACATTATCAGCCATCACAGAGCCAGAGGACACTGGAGCCCCTGGTGACGATGTGTTCACAGTGGCCGCATGCTGATGTTTGGCATCGTGCCATCTATGACTGAGTCAGTACAACTCAGATATTGCTCTACATGCCTTCACAAAACTAATACCTTTGGAAACAAATGTCCTACAACTGTCATGCAACTGTGTATCAGTGTTAAGCTACAGGGAAGTAGGGAAAGCACACAAGCCCCAGTGTTTGAATCAGAAATAGATGGGTTTTCTATTTAACTTGTCTGTGACAATCTGTCGTTCTATTTATTTTTTGTTTTTGTATGATCAGTGGAAACAGTCTGTGCTGTCAATAACCATGGCAACAATCAGCACATGCACAAGAGAGCTGGTGTCCGAATGCATTTTACTGACCAACGAAAATATCTTTTCTGGGGTGTTTGTATACTGTAAATCCAAGTGGATTTATTAAAACACCAGGAAGCTGCTCATTTCTCTTCATCAACATTAAACTTGGTCAAATTGTCCAGCTAATCTAAAATGAATGTAACAAATACAATAAATAATAATCAAATTACTGTCAGTTGAGGAGCCTGACAGGGAATACTGTCCTCTTTGTTATAATAGGCACGATTAAGGACAAAAACACACTCTACATTCATTTTGGGATCAACAACTGTTACACATCTCCCTCTGAGAATCACCACAGGGTCACCTCAACAGCTGTTCCTCTCCCTCTGCCAATCAAACAAGAACAGGGATCAAGAACTAAGCACAAAAACATGCCAATTACAGAGCCTGAAATTTATTTCAGCAATCAAGCCCCCCTGTCTTTGTCTCGAGCAACTTCTTGTTGACAGAAGAAATATAAACCAATATATTACAATATATTTCTTTGTTGACAAATGTGTTATGGCAGTACCTGAAATAACAAAATTCCATCTGGAGAGGGTATAAAATAAATCCATTATGAAGTATCCACTGCAGAGAATTAAAATCTCTGAGGAAATAGCAGCGATTGACCACAAAACAAGCAACACCAAACTCAGTGTTTTTTTTTTTCCATCACTGCTGCTGTTCTGGACTAACCTGCAGCACTGTCTGGATCTTGGCAGAGACATCGGCTTGCTCATAGAGCTTGATATCCTCTTCCTGGGTTGAACGTGGACCCTGGCCTGCAATCTGCTGCATGTGGACCAGCACCACACCATGAGCCTGGGCCACTGCCTTGAACTTCTCAAACAAAAGCTCCAGCAGTTCCAACAGCAGCCTGCAGAGGGAGACAGAGAGAGCGATGAGACATTTATTGGACACGAAGCACAAGAGAGGGGGCAAATGGCAGCATGGACACAGGATTGACAGGAAAGGCATAATATCATGTAATAATGTTTACAAAAATGACATCACAACTCAAACCAAACATGTATATGAATAACTCACCCCTTTTCAGTCACTAATGATCACCATAAAGTGGTAATAAGCCACACACAGTTATAGTCAATTCCCTGTGCTCATCAATAGATTACAAATGTTATCCACTTTACTCTAAACTCTCAAAACCATAAAAACATTTCAGTGCTACTGATGTTTCACATGAAAAGCATACCTCTTGAAAAAAAATATATTGTGCATCTCAAGCTTTTAATCAGCCTTAGATTTAGCTTTACTTCTTTAGTGCAGCGACAGGGATATTTTGGTGCACAAATAAATTTTCATTCAAAAGATAAGCTGTACGAAACAGAACAAAAAGAGCAGATGAGAAAGGGGGAAATAATAAATAGAAACCAATAATCTGCCAAAAATGCATTAATGCGTTTATTTCACATTGCCCATTAGGTTATGCTTCCCCTGGATTTTATCTGAAACTCGCTCCTGAGTGGATGCTTCAACATGTCATATGCAGTAATAACCCAACACCTGGGCTGGCAGTTGGAAAACTAGCAAGCTACCCAACGTGGACTCAAATGAACAGCCACTCTCATTAGTTCTAAATGGCTCTGGCTGGAGAAGAGAGCACAGCCAAAACTAAACTGACCTTCCACTTGATCTGAGTGCTACACTCTGGATAGGAAATTCAATGTTGACTCATTGACGTTAACGCTTTCACACAGAAGTTGCCATTACTGCTTTCTGTACAAGGACAGAGCTTTCAAAGTAAAGAGGGAACATGGGTTAGGTTAATGAGTGTGAATGAGTTCTTAGTGCCCCTACAATAGCGAGTAACCACTTTATCTTAGTGGAAGTATTATATTTAATACACAAATAATCACACTGTTGGCCTAACACCAATCTTTTGGTTCACTCTTTTGCCATTTTGGCTGTGTTTCAATCAACTGGTGGCAGGTTTCGAAATTTACTGTTCACGGAACATAAAAAAAGCTCCTGTCAAAGTTGTACCCTTACTCAGGCTTTTCATCAGAAGCCATGGGATCTGAGAGTAGTGAGCAGTTTCATGAACTGGATGTTGAACTCTGATTTTATGGTTAAAGTCTCTAATTCTCCTTTTCACCAGTGGAAGGCCTTTGGATTTTTTTAAGGACAAGAAAATGGTACCTAGAATAAATATCATGCACATGTAAACCCTCAAAAAAGGACAAACAGTATAAGACCTAGACCTTCATGTTTTCAATCTCTCAGCAAGCTTTCCAGACTGTCAGCATCAAGTCTAACATCTACACCTATAGACCAACATAAAGTGCAGATGGCCAAATTGCACTCCCTCCATATTGGCAGCCACTAGTATCTCTCAGTCTGTAATTGCAACGTCTTCCTGAAATCTTTCTTGTTAGCTTCTGATGTCATATCTATCACAACTCCCTTCATCTGCTTCATTTGGTTGGTTGACAAGCAGCTTCTGAAACTTAAAACTCCCACAGGGTCTGGGCTCTTAAACTGCTTTTCATGGAGTCCTCCCTGAGGGAAATGGGGACTTCTAACCCACACTTGCCACGATATTTTACCACTTTGGTATGCCTGTGAGTATGCGCATTATCCACCTGGCCACTATGCCCTCTTTTGCTTTAAGGGCATCTTTCAAAAGCCTACAGCCTAGGTTTCTGCCTTATAAAATAGATCTTCATCTTATGGATCTTATTCTGCCATTATTAAAGCCTCAGTCCTTTTCATTAGATCACATATTATAGCAAGGATGATACTGAAATAATAAATGGTATGAAAAACCAAAACAATGTCCTGAAATAGAGATAAGCTTGAACGACAATCCACCCTTACAGACCGTTAAAAAATCCGATCGTGTTAATATCATATGTATGATATAATACTGAGATAGTATTGCAAACTCCACTCTTACACAGAACAGTTAAAGAACTGTTTCCATTTTTTAGACAGATGAACCCAACTAACCTGTTAAAATCCCTTAATAATCATAAAATGATATAATATGTAATAACCATTGACATTTTTGGAATCAATTGCTGCATAAGCAGGTGCAACACAAAAGCCAAGCCAGTGTTAATATGTATGTTGCAAAGCACATGAGTAAATAATTTATTCTGCTAGTCATATCAGAGTACCACCAGCATAATAGTACCAAGATAATACAGCATCCTAAAAGTGTTGGTATATCTTAGATGGTTTAAAGGTAATGTACAGTCGAGATGGATGTTTCTCTGGAGGTCATTTTGGTTGTCTGTCACTGCACTCACTGCAGCATCGAATAAATGTTATTAATACATAGAAGGGATAAATAAATCACTCTGATCTATGTCCCAGGGAGTTTCAAACTTAGACAGGTATGTATTAATATGAAGGGCAAGAAAAGGATACCTAGAAAACATATCATGTACATGTCAAGCCTCAGAAAAGGACAAACAGTATAAGATCCTAAATGCAATAAGAAAGCCGAAAAAGAAGACCTAGACCTTCATGTTTTCAATCCCTCAGCAAGCTTTCCAGACTCTCAACCTCAACCCTAACATCTACACCTATAGACAGACATAAAGTGCAGACGGCCCCATCCTCCTCATTATCTCCCAGTGGAGGCCATCCTAATCCATATTGTCTGTTCTTTGAGTCCTCACGTCTCATTTCCCCTCAGGATCGAAGCTGACACACGGCTGATGAACAGTCAGGATAAATAGCAGGGAGCACACAGCCCCTCACTAACTGACCAGCAATATGTGTGATTCGTTTGAGAACGGCAACATAAGCATCCAAATTAGATTATCTTTACGTTACTTGTCCGTCATCAGATTTTGATGTACATCTGCGTTTTCATACACAAACTGACCAAAAGGATAGAAACACTTTTACACAGATTGCACTCTCTGATCTTTCAAAGGACCATTCTTCTGAGAAAGAGGCTAAGGTGCAAAAAAGAACAGCTTTCCATCTTCTATACAATGTCACTGTCAAATGTTAAAATAATCTTCTAAACAAACAAGCTTTAGTTTTACCAACCATTCAGATGCTGCTTAAGGTATGAAAGATAAAATACTCAAATGTCAAACACAAAAATACATGCATTCAGTCTGGAATGGAATGTTTTTTTTATTCAACCATTTGTTGTTGAGTTCTTATATGCTTTTGCAATTCAGCCAGAGGATATGAATTCAACTCAAATGTTATGTTAATCAAACTGAACTGGTCACAAATCAGTGGTGTATGCTAAATATTTCGGTGCATGGAGTACAAACCTGGTACAAGCAGGATCGAGAGAAGAAAGTTGGATCACTGAGGATGTGAATGAGAGCATAAACCAAAGACCAAGCCACACACAGCTGTTTAAGGTATAAAGTGCTTAAGTGTTGCCTGCTGGTCTGCACTGCTATAAAATATAGTGTGCAATATTCAAGACCATTGTTCCCTTCAAGTGGTACATTGGCTGGAGTTTCCATAGCAACAGGCATTGACTTTAAATGGAAGTGAACATAGGGAGAGGTAGCATAGTATGCATCCAAAGACAAACGCGCACATACAAACTTCAAAGTGTTAAGCGCTTACACAAGAACACACATGCAGGCCAATTTAAAACAATCAGCACGAAGTAGAGCTGAGAATGAGTTACATGCTAGCCTATTGCACTGGGGTCAGATGAGATTCAGCAGGCAACAGGAGACACAAAACAGACAAGGCTAAAGAGAACATCCCTGACAGAAAACAAGACGTTCCTCTTAAATGGTTCGGGATCACTGGACTGAGAACTGTGCTTCTCCAGACTGCGCACTGTTTGGGTCTGTCTGGAGCTGCTGACGTGACTGCTTTTAAAATGTGGCAGCTCTAAAAGGCAGGTGTGAAACAGTTTGTGTGTGTGCACATGGACGTGTTTAACCATGACATGTCTATGTTTAAAGCAGCAGGGTATCTGTTTTCATGGTCTGAGAAAGATGCATCTCCAGTTCAAGTCTTTTCTAAGTTTCACACCTGCTTGACTGTCTGACTATGAAAACTGTGGGACTGCATTCCAAACACCGTCAGTTGACTTTTAAAAAGAAGGCCTAAAAAAACACAGTGTGCAGCAAATTGATGCAGATAAAAACAGTGAGCAATGTGTTTTAGTAAGGAGAAACACAAGCCTAACCTTCTACCAATCACTAGAGAGACTGTCGAGCTTTTATTGAAGAAAAGTGGGAAATTGAGTCTAATGGGAATACTATTAGTTGAAAATAATATGTGAGCAAGCAGCTTAATAAAAGTCTAATATAGATATAAAACTGATAGGAATTCAAGTGGCAGGTTTATTAAGGCATTTTTCACCATAACATTGGAAGCATACTGCTGTCTAAGGTGATCTCCTCTTCATATATATAATGCTAATGCTTTTTATTAGTTCTATAAGGTAAGCATTACTAATTTATTATCAAGATAGCTTTCATTTTTCTACATAATTGCTTCTACTCTGCTTTTCATGGCTATCTACAGACTGCATCTCCCTTTTTCTCACCACTGGCTTTGTTGTAATAACCTCCAGTTTTCTCATTTTTCAGCTTGAATCCTCCTGTGCTCCTAATTTTACTGAAATAATGATATTTCCTCCTTCTTTGTTGTACAGTACCTTGGCTGGCTCTCCTGGGCAACGTTTCTCTGGTAGGCATGGTCTGCTATCTGAGTGGTAGACCGCTTGACAATCTGTTTCAGCTCTGGTTCCAGCCTCTCCATGATGGCTTTGATGGTCTCTGGGAGTTTCTTCAATTTGGCCAGAGCCTTCGGGAATGAAGAAGACAAAAGTTTTACTTCAACCAAGAGTGTAATAAACACACTTAATATCAGGACAGTGTATGGAGATGTACTCTTTTATTCATACTCATATACACACCCTGATGAGGATGCCCATGAACTCAGCACTGTTCTCTTCAGGGTCCACTTCAGAAAGTTCTGCTTGGCTCAGCTCTCGGATATCCTGCTGCAGTTCACGCACTAAAGCAAATACAGATTGCCGCACATATGACAAATATCTGTTAAAATAAAATTGCACTGCTACATTTTGCATTTATCACATTTTAGCTTTTATATTTCTCCCATTTATAATTTTAACACACCAAAACAAATCATTTTGATTGCCTTAAGTACACTAATATCCCATGTCTTTTTTGCCTTTTAAGCACTCTCTCTTACACACACCTGCACCCAAAACCCAACCCCCATGCTCCCGGCAGCTGACTTAGCCACATTAGCAGCTAAATTGAGAATGGCAGTATCGAGTGATGCTCTAATTTCCATTAGATGGGGCCTCCCAATTCCCCATCAAAGCACGTTAGGAGAGTTAATGTTTATGGCAAGTTAATGGACTTGGGGTGTATTTCCTTTTTTCACCCATTCCGACTGCGGTTTGTGTAATAATTATGACAATTACTATCTTCAAATGAGGTGCTTTAATGCTATTAGACAAAATGGCAAGCCAGGCTTTCTGATGGAAGCCGGTTGCTGTGCCGTGACCACGGTTGTTAACACGACAGTATACAGGCACTTACCACCTGGTGATGGCTAATTGCCAGAGAACTCTGTGCATAATGTAGGAGAAATTGTGGTTGAGCTTTTACTTTTAGGTGTACAGTGTGGGGGCAGCGAACAGATATTTATCAAATATTAGAGGCAATTTATGCATTGGTATGTTGATGCATCTGAAGAGATACAAGCATGGTGATGAGATTATTAAAAAACTAAAAGTTGAGCATAAGAGACAGATACAAATTAAGGGATATGATATAAAAGATAAGAAAAAAGAACAAAAGGGAGAGGACAAAGGCATAGAGTAATACCGATGGACATAACATGGCACAAATATTAATTTGTGCCATGGCAATATAAATACTCCATGGAAACCTTGCTGAATGCTAATGTACATCTACAGTGTGGTGCTCGGCTGCCTAGCATCCATAAAGCTAAAAACGGTGAGTTGTTAACTTAGAATGCCAAGAGTGGGTGGTAAAAAAGTGCCAGGCTTCATAAAAAAAAACCTCAGAAACACACAGGGAACGCCAAGTTATTGCTGGATTAACTTTTTTCATTATCTTCTTGTTTGAGCTCCTCTGTGTTCTGCCTGGAAGAAATGTAGTGCCGACTCTACGCCCTTACAACCAAGAGGGATTCATACATTTCTGTCAAAGTTAGCTTCTGTATTAAATGCTTCTGTTAAACTTCTGGTTACCAGTTTGAGCGTAATGAATGCAATCCCCCTGCTGTGAAGGCAGAGATTCTGGGTGACTAATGGTGCACGAGGGGGGGCATGATGATTATAATGTTAGCCAGGGAGATGTATATTATGATCATAGTTGAAGATGTTATGACATATACTGCAAGGGAAGAGACGTGGGTGTGCACGGTTTGTGTGTATGTGCAACAAAGCCTCTATAATGTGCTTAGCCCTTTGTAGGGACGTTTAGATCAGCAGTTTATGTATGCACTTAGCGCATGAGCATGGAGGACTGATAATTTGCACGCCCGTAATGATATGCAAATGGTTGTAAGTCAAAGTAATGTTAATGACTTCCCATCACTGACAATATCAGAACAGTGAAAATGCGAGGGCGACCTTAAATGCACACAGATTGCTTTTTTACAAGGAAACCAACAGTTCAACAAGTCTACGTCCTCCCTTCTGCAATTCTCCTAATGTGTAGGGTTCAAATAGAGGAAACCAAAGGATATTTATGTCTTTTCATTAAACTTTCTCAGAAAATCTTTACTTTTATTTCAACCTCTTTTTTACTGAGGGTATACTTTCTTGTTCTCTCCTCCCATGTGTTTAATATATTCTATAAAAATATACCACTGCCTGATCCAGGTGTGCTGAACTGAGATGAATCCAAAAGCTTGCGTGGGGTTGACAGGCTGCCGACTTCCAACACAGGCACTGAGGACATGTCTTTGGTCATGCATCTGTGAAAAGAAAAATTAGCTGTTGTAAAAAAAATCCTATAACAAGTAATCCACACTATGAATGACAAAAAAATAAAAACGATTAGCGGACAAAAAAATGAACAAGTTTAGCTTACCAGACAAAAACAACCTACAATTACAACAAAACGGCCTTGCATCCCTGGTTGGTGGGAATGTTTCTGCTTTCAAATGAGCCATTTATCAAAGTCGAGGTGGAGCCAATCCAGGTCTTTTAAGTTGGACGGTATAAACACAGTGTGTCTGCTAAGTGAGTGGGCTGTATGGAGGCTGGCGTGTTGTTAGAGGCAACCCAATACAGTAGGGCCAGGACCTGTCAGTAGCTGACCCTCTGTAATAAATCATTTCACCTCACCAACCCATTGCCACCTTAATTATTGAACACACCTTCCTACACATGCACACACACACGTGAAAAATTGCAAACACTTGCGCTGAATGCTTTCGATGAGACTAAAGCAACAACAATGTGCAAAGCCACTGGGCTGCATTATCACTAATAAGTCACACAACCACATCATGAAACCAAAAAACATCAGGTCATGGTTAATCTCTCAGTTGTAACCAGAACTACTTCATCATTTTAAACATGATTGTTGTCACACAGACTTTGTGACTTTCTGCCAGTAAAGGGAAACAGACATTGCGTTTTGGGCAGAAATTATGTTTTTTTTCATTAAAACTAAACAATAAAACCATTAAAACTGCATAATTTGTGACTTTAATTGTGTGCCATCTAATTAGTTTTGAGTAAATTACTCCCATATGCCGTGAACAATAGGATTCTTTGAGATGGTTTTCATTTGATTCTTTAGGAGCGTCACAGCACACGGCTTACACATAAATAAGAGGAGTAACACGTTAAACGAGGCGTAATTGTTTTTTAACGGTAATGGCGGTGGTTTCCAGTCAGCAAATTATCAGCAGGTTTTACTTAGTTGTGGCTGCAGTGTAATAAATCATAATGAATACACACTGAACAATGTTTAAAGTATGAAAAGTTAGGAGGAAGACAGTTTGGAAAGGCAAGACAAAAAACATTTTGGGTACATTGGATCTAAATAAGTCTAGAAGATGGATTTTTTTTTTGTAAAGAACGGTAAAAAAGTTTCCATCTGGCATTTTTTATAATAAAACTTATATCGTATACTCCCCTGCATGCAATCAAATGAGTACCAGTAAAAACATTTTTTAAGCATATGTGGAAGTCCTGTCTATACCTTATAGCTAGAAATAAATAAAAAAACACCTGAGGTGAGATTCAGTCTGGCTGTAAAGGAGTGACAAGAATCTGGAAAAACTGCCCCTTACCCAGGAAAGCGAGGAGCATTTTTGTCCTTGTTTTTGTGTCCAAGGCGACTCGTGGACTTGATGTAGAGATGTCGGTGCAGCTCATCGATGAGCACCAGGTGGATGTTGAGCTTCTTGCTGTGGAGCTCCAGGCGAAGGTCTCCAAGCCCTTCCACCTGTAGCAAAGGGCCTTCTAAGGAATCTACAGCTGTCACCTGCATAGAACAACAAACCAACCAAGTTTTAGGCTTCGATGGAAAGGTTTTTCAGGAAAGACAATCCAACATAGCTATTTTTGAAAAGAGGCTTTTGAACTGTTTTGTCTTTTTTGTCCTCATCCGTTCCTTGAGAAAAATATAAATAAGTAAGAGGCACCATCCATATAGCCGCTAAACAATAGTTCTACAGTGACAGCTCACTGCATAAATGCAGCGGTAAAAGTTGCCCATTTTTGTGCCCTGTTATTTTAATGACCATCCGAAGGCATCCGCTGTCATACGTTATCTGCCTGTGCCTTCTAAATAGATCCTTGTGCCACTTTCTGACAGCGCCAACAAAACAGGTGATGTCTTCATGGTTGTGGGAATGTGCAGAGAGAGCGACTCACCACAACCACTTTAACCTCAAAGTTTTACAACGCAAAGACTCATAAAAAAGGGGGATGTTGACAGCTGGGTCTGTGTCGGATTATATAATGCTGAAGTCCACAGCACGTTCTGCTGCTTCCATATGGTACTTTTATGAGCAGGCATGTAAAAATTCTGTTAGGCTTAGGTCTGGCATTATTTTGATGGCACCTCCAGTTACCATGTCAACAAAAGGGAATTTTCTGTGAGCGAGGATTTAATTTATGTTCATATTTTTATTGAACAATTCATCTTAATATTTAAAGCTATAATCTGTGAACTCTGTTATATATAGAATATATTTCTATCTAAAAAATTCAACGTTTATAGTAATGCAATAGTAATCCAAATGCATCTGTTCTGTTTTGTGTCTTCCCTGTCCTCAAAAGAATAGCAGTGGTCAAGATTATTCTGCAGTTTTCTTATCTTATGGCAATAAAGAAAAATGTCCCAATCAGTATCTGAGTGTCTCTGTGGATTTATGTGCATTTACATGGACAATGATGGTGAGATTGACATTTCTGCTGAAAATAATTACATGAGGACAATCAGCGCAGGCCAGAAGGGAGTGGTTAGCAGGGGGGGTGGAGGAGAAAGCAGTAGGCTGGGGGCATCGGGTCAAGTGTGCTTCCATGCAAATGGAAGTCACACTAGCCACAAGATGAGCTAATGTGTTTCATGAGCTGCCTTCTTTCGCATAATGAAATAACTTCCCATGCCAACAAGGCTTTGCACCTTCCATGTGTATATACACACCTGAGATGTGTCTGTGTGCGAGTATAAAGGATTGTATAACTGAAAACGCTGCAAAAGTGTGTGCGTCTGTTTCAAGAGTATGGATGTTATCTCATTACCATTGGACTAGGATGACAGAGGAAGGCTGGTTAACACCATTAGGGACCAGGCCTGTCAGCATAACAAGGAATATGAAGCCTCGAGTGAATTTTACTTAGGAAACGGAGAAGAGGTGAGAAGGACAAAGTGAGAAGAGAAAAGAGAGGACTGGGTTCTCAGCTCCAACGGGGGTATATCAGTTGAGTACACCTGAATTTTGTGACACTACGCGAACAACGGAGTGAAAGGAGAGGAGAGGAAATGCTCCACAACCGTTGCCAGTCTTGTTTTGAACCAACCCCGTGGGATAGAATGCCACCGCTCCACAGCAGATGGGGAGTCTCGTCTCGAATTCTAATTGTCCACCCTTCGAGATAAGCCACGCATAAAAACACATGCACACAGTGCTCAAGAAAATAAGGCACGATGGAGAACAGAGCAGCTTGGACCTGGCTTCACTTCTCCAGTTGCTGTGCAGAGAAAAAATAATGACAGATTTTGTCTGTTGGCATAAAACACAGTGGCTTGCAAAACTTTGGGAAAAAAGTCTGGACTACTAAAAAGCAGCCTGAGTAGAATACATAATCTCCAAAAGCCATTAAGGTAAAAAATAAAAAAATAAAAAATAAAAGAATGCAATGCAGTTTTGCTTTATATTTTGTGTGCTTTTTCTTTCTACAATATCTGAGTAGAAAAGAAAAAAGTAGAAACATGAGTGTGAAGATAACCTTTTACAGGAACATTTCATTGACTGGGTGATGCTAAATCCAACTGTCTCAACATTTGGACATTATGGTTTATTCTGCTCAAAAAGCCAGACAAGCATAAAAATGTCAAAATGTTGTAAACTATTTAAACTATTGAAAAAAAGCGACTTAATAATGCTGTATTCTAGTCAGCATTCGTGATATCTAGCAGCCCTGCACCTGGGACCTCTGCTGCCTCACCAGATGAGAAGGGTGGAAGCAAAAAGAGGTGTCTGCAAAGTAGAGTCCACACTCTTAAGGGATGAGAACGGATATTGTTTACCCAATAAATTGCCAGATTGTTGGCAATGAAAAATAAACCCTGTCTCGATCCAGAATGTGACCTCATACAGAGTTGCTTTTGCTCTCTAAAAGGGTGTATTTACTCCACAGGGTCATTTATGAATAAAATTTGTTTGGAAGTTTGAAAGCATCGAATTTGACATTGAAACTTTCACAAAGCTACTTTACATCCTTCCCACTTTAAAATATTAAATTATTAACATCCAAACAGATGATGTGTGGGAGTGACATCGGAAAAGAGAGAGAATAGGGGAGAGACCAAGAAATCCCAGAGTCTAGGTTGTTTGGTCTTCAGTGACATCCTCCAGCTCGCCTGCTGAACGTACTGCACAACACACATCAAATACACAGGAGTGCACATTCATCCACGGCATGCTCACTGCACTCAGATGATGTTATTTGCAATCACTGGAGCATCCAAGGCTACAAAGTGGTTCATTACACCCATTTAATCTTTGGCGCTTTGCATGCACTTGTGTGAAAATGTGCATACAATTGCATCCTGTCAGATATAACTGATCCGTAATGGAATTTTACCCTAAAAAAAATTACCAATATCTAAAGACCTGCATCAGTCCCACAAATAAACTAACAAGCTAAATCATAAGAGGTATGATGACAACATCTTCTCCATTTTGTTCATCGGCCTACTCACCAACATGTCTGTGGCGTGTAGGTAGTGCTTGCTTGCCATGTAGGCCTCCAGTCGCTGAGGAACCTGCTTAATGCTTTCAATTTCATCCAGTAGTTGGAGGACATGCTTGTGCTCAATGCCTTCGATCCACAACTTCCTCAGCTCATCCCTTTTACAGTGAAGCAGCATTTTACAAGACAGGAGGTTCTCCTTAACCTGCGGAACAGAGACACGAGGCTTTATACAATCTCCAAATGTAAGATCAAATTTAGATTTGTGATAGCTTTAGGTATACTTGGTTTCAGGCATTCTAAAAATACGTGTGACGTAATGCAGAAAGAGTGATTGTACGGCTTAAAAACTAACCCTATCCCTCGCCTTTAACCCTAACCCAAACCAGATTAATCTTTGACTATTTAGAAAACTACAGTGTCACCCAATGAGAAAGGTTCTTATTTCCTAAATGATCATTTATACTTCCTGCCCTGAAAAGCATTTCTATACTTTTTGCTCCTACCTGTTTGATCTTGTTGCGGGAGCTGGTGATACGCTCTGTGATACTCTGGTACGTCCGGATGGCAGTGGTAAGTTCTGCATAATGCTGAACAATCAATTTATCCAAATCCCTGTCACATATTCCAAATGCTTCTTCTAGGCGGCCCTTCTCAGTCTCCCTGTCCTGCACATCATCGCTGCTGGACAGAGTCCTGCATGAGGAAAGAGGAAAACATTCAAAAATCTGATTAAGAAATTGCACTTACATTGTGCAACACTAGTAGAGTTCAACATTCTTGAGAGGAGAAAACCAAAGCCATAAAGCACTTATTCAGGGGACTTTACATGGTAATAAAAAGTGAGGAAGATCGTGTTTTGCAACAAAACTGGACATAATTTTTGAGTTACAACCTGAGGATTCAAATGATAATTCACAAGCTGTACAACGAAGATAATGACAGTCAAAAGCGTTAAACTCGGGAAAGTTAGACATCCATGATCGTTTAGATCTCATACAACATATCTCACTATACTTTATTATGGTGAGCAGTGTAAGGTAAAATACAGCTTTTGTTTCACATGACACTGAACTAGGGACACGATGCGTCCCATATCTAACTGTTTATTCTACTTAAGGAGGAAATTAAAAAAGCATAAGGTGACAATGAATGCCAGGCACTATTGTCATTTTAGAAGAAGCACAGTGAGCGTTTAATATAGGAAGGATGAAGCTACCTCCCATGTAGCTTTAGCATCAAAGTTAGCTGTCAATACATGTCAGAGAGAAAATGTAGGCAAACTGTAAAAGCTGTCTGACGTCTTAACGGCGCATTTAGCTCGAGATAAAAAATACAAAACACATTTACCTGATAACAGAGATCAGAAGACCAGAGGGGTCTTTGTTTTTGCTAACTGCACTCCTGTATCTGCCTGAATCAGATGCCATTTTTCCAGCTGCGGCACCTAAACAGGAAGTCAGGAGCGCGAGATTGGCCAAAGGAACCCTGGGAGTTGTAGTTTAGCAGGACAGTAGATTTGTAATGATGATGCTGATTTTCACCGGTTTCTGCTTTGGCCATACTCACAAATTCAATATTGTCTGAAACCAATATTTGGGGTTTAAGACATTTTTTTAATTTCTTTTTCTTTATCAATGAGAGAATATAAAATTATATCCCCAAGAACAGTTTAGTCAGCAACTAAATAACTCATTTAGTTGCTTATCACAATTTATACTTATCACAATTACTGTGATAAGTATAAAGGATCTTATTATGATGTCATATAAATATTCAGTTCATGGACAAACCATTCAGTGGTCCTTGTTTTTTTCATTCATTTTCCTTTTTTCTTTTTGTCATTCTTATTTAACAGAACTATGTCTAAAAAACATCTACAATACAAAATATACATGTTTCAAGTTACTGTGATGTTGATCAAGACTTATTTTTTCATCTTCTTCATGCTGGTAAGAATAGAGAACAACAAAAAACAACAGCTAAACAATGAAAAATGGATCAACATAGGGACAATTATAAGCACTTTCACACATTACACAGTCAATTCAAAAGGAACTATAAACTTAGTTTGCATATCATTAGATTCTGAGAAATGGCCAAAAAGAAAACTATATATCAACTTGGAAAACATGAGAGCTCATAAGTAAATCGTAGTCATACGTGATGAAATAGTGCAAACCACGGTACAGTCCTGCCCTGGATGGCATATAACCCATTCCAAATTCCTTTAGCACCGCAAGTGACATGCATACAGGTTTTCTTTTGTTGTTTTTCTTCCAAGAGTCTTATGAGCTCTTTTTACATCCCGCGCACACACTTCCACACATGAATAAATGCATTATGCTCTCCCAAATGACACGTAGCTCTATGTCCTGCAGAAGCCAAAATAAGAGCCATCCAAAATGCTTCTGTGCCTCAGATGTCCCAGCATAAAGGTAGAGCAAAGAAGAAAAATGCGGTCAACATGTTGTGAGTTAATAGGTACCCCATTTAGAGCATAAAATGCTGGATTTTGCAGGAATCCCCCTCCCTCTTTATCTTAAAAGATCTGCCATACCAATGAAAATGGGCCGAACATTGATTCTGGAGCAAATGAGGTTGATCTGCTGCAGCCTGGATACTGATTGATGTGCTGGTGGACTGACGAGATAACATTGTGGGTGATCCGTGCCCACCACCCCCATCCTTCCACACTCCTCAATAACCAATTGCTGTGTCAAATAGGAGACATTGTTTTCCTTTTAAAAGCATCTAAAATCTCTGGTAAAAGTTGAATTGTGAAGTTCTTATCACCTTGCCTGTGAAACAATACCCCATCAGTCTGGATAATCTGCAGGGCTTTCTGCCGCCAACAAACCAACACTTTTTGCCGACTGACCTGGGTTTGGTTAAAATACAAGAACAATTTGTTCTGGTGGTGCATGGTTTTTGATTTGTCCAAAAGTTAAAATAAGACATTTTGATAGGGGTAATATCTGTCTCATATATGCTAAATTAAAAAAAGAACAGTCAGGGAACATAATTGTACAGGCATGTAACCAAAGAAAAAACTTGTACCTTCCTCTTTGTAAGGGTCGGTACCGACCCATTTTTTAAGTTGAACACCAGAGGAACACAAAGATATAACACTAGAGGAAGGTTTATCAAGCGTGGAAACTCATATGTGCTGTATGTTTATCTTGAAAAAAGTCAAGTGGATGAGTTAAGATAAATGAGCTCTTTAAGCAAAAATGCACATAAAAGAGATTTTCCCCCTCAAATGTGCATAATCCATTTTGCCCAAGGAATCTATTTGGATGCCATTTCTGGGGTCACTGCTAATGTATGATAATAGCTTTACAAAATATCCTGAGAGAAATACCATGCAAAGATAAAAAGGTTGCTTAAAATTGTTGACCTATATTTTCCTTCTAAATAACACAGCTAAGAACTGTGTAACAAAATATGATTTGAAGGTGGTTAAGATAAGAAGCTATTTTTTCTCTTGTTTACATAGAAATATGCTGGGAAAGGGTATCTGCATTATCCAGAGCAGAATTTATCTAAAACAAGTCTCACACCCTCAGCCTTAACTTTCTGGCAAAACTTGTTTTAGTAACACATTGGTAATATTTTCCACCAATGTGGAATCAGCTTAACTACAATGGTTTGTTATCAAATGATTTCAAAGTATTTAGAAAAGTGTGAACCCTAATTACATTTCCACACTATTTATAAAGTCTGCTCAACATGACTTTGGCCTGAATCATTTTTGCTTTGAAAAATAAGAAGCAAAAGAAAATCTTTTAACCAGTGTACAGAAAATAAATAATTTATAATATAAAGTCACACTAAGAGAAAGAAAGAAGACAATGAACATATCTGAACACATCTGTCTCTGCAGATAAAAAAACAGATTGCAGACATCTTGGTATAACTTTACCAGTAATATTTCTTTCTACAATAATGCTGACATAGGCAAACAACAAGGCTCTTTTCCCCACTTTGACGTTCACTCCCCTTCTAAACGTACTGTTTTAAATTTAGCCTGAAGCATTTCAGAAAGTGCCTTCAGGGCATTACAGCACTTTACAATTATTCACTAAATAATATGGTCAGCAAAGACAACCTGACAATTTAGCAACACTAATATGAACTGAATCTCTGATGCCAGAAAACACCATGTTTATGTTTATGTTGATGCATTTAGTGGTGGCTTTTGTCCAAAGCCACTTACAAATAGACACAATGTTACAGGTATCAATAATCTGAAAATGAACTCTCTAGAGGAAAATCCCTAGTCAGAGTCAGTGGTGACAGGGAAAAGATAGAAGGATGTACAAAAAGAGTAGTAAGGGGGAATAAAGAGGTATGAGTAAGAGTTAGGATAGGAAAAAGATGTAAAGCAAGTATTGCATCAAAATATGTACAAAACAAATTTAATTCTTTTTATTCTAGAAATTTAGAAATGCTATCTTCTGCCTACAATATGTGCTACATACAGTACACATTATTTACACATTTCTGTAAGAAATTGCAAGGGGTCACAACATGTCTAAAATAATCTTAATGTCTTCAAATGTCCTGGTCTTTTCAATTAAATAAACAGGGACACAGTTAAAATGTTGTTCAGTTGATCAATCCTAGATATAAATGGTTGCATACTTTTAATCTCTGATTTTATGACACTGTATCTTTATTTTTCCCTGAGGAACTCAAAACTTTTCAGATATGATCAAACTTGCAAGCGTTGGTTTTGCTTTCCCTCCTCAATTATTCAGTTTTTGTCTGATCTTACTGATGTCAAACACAAAATTCAAGGCTGCGCCTGCAGTGAAAAGCTTGCTTTTATTACATCAGTCACACCTTTTGTCTGTTTTTGTGATTTTCTGTCTCCTCCAAATGGAGTAAAAGCCATTTTCAAAAAAAGGTCCCTCAATAACTCATGCATGTGCATAATTTGAGTCACCCTCTTTTCATTTTTAACTGTTTTGTGTGTCTTACCTTAACTTGAAACAAATATGAATTCTTTTTAAGGAATTTTTTGCAACACTCTAGCACCACTTTTTTACTGTCAACATCTGTTTTGGCTGTGCGTGTGTGGTTTTAAAACCTGGCCACTGGTTGATCAGGTTTTGCAGTGCTGCTGGGCGGAGTCTTGTTTCCCCCGGCTCTCACAGATTAAGATTATCTGGGCTAATTGTCTTCACTATTTAAGGAATAGCAGGAGAACCAGCCTTTGCCAGATTGTTCTACGTCCTCTGTGGTAAACAGGCCAACTCTGGTGAGCTTGCCTCATGGAATCTCGTGCCAAATTTCTAATTGGTATATTTTCTCTAATGGATACTCCCCTGTCACAACATATTGTTCTTGGTCCAGCCTATTCCTACTTCCAAGCAAGGTTGTGACTCCTGGATGTTGTTTGAAAAGTCAAGACTACAGACACCACCTAACTTCTCACCCTCCACTGGCCATCATGCCATGGCCAACTACCTTATGGAATTGTAAGACTTGTCAGAGCCATAACTTCACAATTACTCCTCTGGAATATATTTCCATCACTACCTCCTTTATGTATAACACCCAAACGCCCAAAGATGAAACATACAAACAAAGGAAATTATTGCATACATTCAATGCACTCCATAACTTTAAGATTTTTTTAAAATTGTGCAATTATTGATGGAAATATTTTTCTATTTGATTAAGGTTTTCAGATTCCTATTGCTGGAGCAATAGATTCCTTTTCTCAGATTCCTTATAGCTTAATGGCTCATTGATAATCTTTTTACTCCAAAGAGCATCACAGGTCGAGTATTGTGCTGGTTTGTAATGAACATGCTTATTCTTAATCTTATTTTCATGAACACTAAACAACTGCAATGTCCCGTGTATTTCTCCCTACCAATCTGCTCAACTTGAACTTAATCTTTACAGTAATAAAGCTTTTATAACTCTGTAGGGTACTACAGTTACTACTGTAACTGCCATATTTACAAGTTAGATATGAAACGACAGATCACCTGACACATCACCGATAAAATGACAAAAAAGTCCCTTGTCAGTACAATTTAAACAGTATATTTCACAGTTATTTTTCTAAATTTTAGACCCCAAAAAATATAACTAAATTTAAATCAACATTTACTTCCATCATGAATTTATTAGTTAATCAAATTCTTCCAGTATTTAGATCTCACAGTGTGAATAATTTATTTCATGGTTGATGTGACTACCATGTTAAGTAGTTTGACCCCTTGAAATATGCATTATATGCTATATTATTGCACAGAGACAAGCTTAAAGTGAGCATTTCTCGACTTTAATTTCATCAAATTCCCACAGGCTAAGGTTAGTGACCTCAGTTCTTAAAGGAGCAGTTTTTATACCATTTTACAGACACTTTATTAATAATAAAAAAAAACCTTTTGTAACAACTAACTACACAATAGTGCTATCTATTTTTCTAGTTGGCACTGCTAACATTTGTCACTTTCTGTTCTGTGCAGCTCTGAATCATAAATTATTGTTTTAATGTATTTCATAATTTACAGTGGAAAGTCAATTGAATATAATGTAAAACATCACACATTAATAACAAGAACATCTAAGGTAAACGTTTAGAGTCAGATATTTTTAATTGAACATCTGTGTCCCACGTCACATGGGAAAGTCAGGCCAGCTGTACTGTGCATCATATTTCCACTCCAACAAACGCCAACCAATCAACACCCCTGATGCATGGACACGAGTTGCATCTGCCCAATCCACTAGCTCCTTCTTTGAAAACGTCATGCTAAGGAAGCACAGGCGTTCAAAAACTGTTGAGTTTGGGCCCTTGCAATACCTGGCTCCAAGTAAACGGAAGAAAAGCAAAAGTGGATTTCTGCTGTCCATTTTCCATGCAGTCTAGATAAACGAAACAGCTAGCAATGGGAGCGAACAACAGTACCCGCCGCGTGTCATTTGAGTCCGACGAGAATGAGAATATCACGGTGGTGAAGGGCATTCGGGTAAGGGACATGATACAAACATGCTTTAAACAGGTGTTATGACAGCCTTAATAAAACTAAGGCGTTAGATAGGATGGCGAACAGGGCTTTTGAGGTAAAAAACTGCCTACAAGAGAGATGCATAACTGAACTGAAGGGCTCAATACAGGCTGAAAACTTTGACTGATAGTGAATAGCTAAAACCAGCGTGAAGAAATGAATGACATCATGACCAATGAAGGGAAGCCCCGGCTGTCCCAACACAACACAACACAACACAGACAGATGTCTGTAATATCACCAGCTGGACACCGCTTTGTCATTCATTGGATTAATAAAACCCAAGTGTCATATTGGTTTGTCATTATTTTGCGGTTTGTTTAGAAGATTGTTGCATGCAAATGATGAAGAATCCCTGCAGCCTCTGCTCTGCAGGAGATGTCCTGTGCCAGCGGCAGTTGATGTCAAATTTAGACTGAGAGGCTTTAGCTGATCAGATAAAGACTTTACAGGGGATGGCTCTGTCTATTGTTACTCAGTTTTTAAGCCACTGTGGAGGAACTGTTGTGCTATGTTAGTGTTTGTGTACTGTAAATAGAAAATATTTCCCTGCAAACATAATGTTTGCTTTGAGTTAAAGTTCCAGTGCAGTAGAACAGGGACACCGAAAACAACAATTCCTTGTTGGCAATCAAATTCGAAGCATTAGTTAGGATTTGGGGAACCAAAAACATTGAACAACTCATAATTAATTAGGTTAATAGGCTACAGCTCACTAAGATAATTGGGTAGTACAGCCCAAAGATGGTAAGATTTCCAAAAGGTCAAAAAGCGAGGACTTGAAAAGACTATTAAATAATATGTTGATGTGAGAAAACGAATTATGAATGTAAAATTGCATATGATTTAGAATTTTCTATCATACAACATAGCAGTAGAATATTTAAAGGAGAGGTATCTGAAAGCCAGCCTTGAACCGGCTCTCTTGTGGCAGCACATTATAAATAGACACACCTTTGTAGTGGTAATTTCTTTTTGTGTTTGGGAAAGTTCCTTTAGCTGCTGGCCTGCTGTATCAACAAGGATTTGTCTCATCAGTTACAACTTTGTTAAAGTTAGATGATACAGAACTTAATGGTTAATATCTTGCACTTTATATTGATTTTTTTTTTTTTAAATGTGTGCATGAAATTCAGTTCATATAACTATTATTGGACTATTATGAAATGGTTAGTCTCATTCTGTTTTTTATGTTTGTTTTTTTTTTACTTAAATGACTCAGTGTAACTGCAGAATAACTTGGACACATTCCTTTAAATGCACCTTTTTTCACACTAAAAATCTACTTCTTTTCTCATTTGCAGCTCTCTGAAAATGTCATCAAACGCATGAAAGAACCTCCAGCTCCTCCAAAACCACAATCTCCCACTTTACCTCCTTCCATGGCACCAACCCTCACTCCATCTCCTCCCCTGATGCCAGTGCCTCCCCTCGTTGACCCGATTACTTCCTTCACTCCTCCTTCTCCTGTAGAACCTGTTGTGCCTCCATCTCCTCCTCAGTCTGTTCCATTAGCAACAGAGATGGCTGCACCTCCTCCTCAACCTCCCTCTGAACAGGTAGCAGCACCCACCATAGCTGATTTGGTGCTCCCATCCTTGTCACCCCTGGCTCCTGCAAATGCCGCTGCTTTTGAGCCTGTTGCGACACCTCCTCCTCCTCCTCCTGCTGTTGTTGACCCCGTAACTTTGCCGATATCTCTCCCTCCTCCTGCTTCTGCTCCCATTGAACCCCTGACCCCTGCTCCCTGCCCGGCTCCAGCTGTGGTGGAAGTGATCGCTCCGCTTACCCCTGCTGCTGAATCATCTCCTCCTCCCATAAATGAACCCAGTGCTTCTCCTCTGATAATTCCACCCATTGCTCCCACACTCATGATTGAGTCCCTTGCTTCTTCATCTGTATTCGAATCCATATCGCCTCCTTCTGTTCAGACTGAACCCATCGCCTCTCCCTCTCTTGCTGAATCAGAACCTCACCCTTCTCCCCCTGTTTTCGAGTCTGTCACCATTTTGCCAGCATCTGCACCTCCTCCAGGGGAGCCTTTGCCCATGCAGCCTGCTGAACAATTTGCAGCACCCCCCCTGCCTGAGTTTACTGCTCCATTTGAACTAGCTGCACCTCCTCCTCAGCCAACAGTGGAACCATTAACACCTGCTCCAGTCCCTAAGCCAGAACCAGTGCCTGAGTCAAGTCCAGTTCCACCTCTGACTGTGGAACCAACAGGTGAGTTTTATTTCCTGTGAATAAAAGTCTATAATCCTCTGCTCATTGGTGACTGATGTATCTTAATACTTATGAAACCAAACAATGTTTCCTTTTTTTTAAATATCTTTTTTATTTTACTAGATAATCCACTATTTCTCCAATGTAGAGAGAGCTGGATCATGATTCCATAGTTTGTTTCTTAGACAGGAGTAAATGCTCATTTATAGAATCCAAAGAGATGAATTTTCTTGGTAATAGTTCATTTAATCCTTAAATGTATGGAAGTAACTTCTATCGCATGCTTAATGAGACGAGAAAGGTCATGTGGGACTCAACTGTCTAGGATTTATTTTTCACTGAATTGTAATTATGTTTATTGTATGGGTGTTCACTTTAAGCCACCTTAAGCCTTTTGTCTTCAAATTTTCATGGAGATAGTAATTAGTCTTCATTATAAAATGGGCCTTGCAGTCGCTTGGTTCATATTATGATTCATTGCTAACCCCTAACTGTTAATGAAATGATTAATTCTGTCATGTAATAATATCAATAAATTGGTGCTGCTGTCAGTAGCTATCCAGTCGGACTTGCCACTGTGGAACATATCGCATTAAAAGAGAATATTGAATATATAAACCTAGAAATATTGGAAGTTTCTGATTGACTGTAGTGACTGATGGCAGTTCATGTGGATCAGCAGTTTTCCATGTCAAAGTTGCTAACAGCGATCCATTACGAACAGAGTTATGAACAGAGACTGAAATGTTTTGTGTAGCATTATTAACCAGAGAACAAAGTGAATAATTCACTTTTTTTGCTTTTGAAAACTGAAAACCCGAATTAGTGCAAACTTCTTCTCCGTTTCCTGAATCAAAATAAATGTAAATTTTTTCCCTCTCCGGTGTGTATGAGTAGTGGATAGGCTCTGGGTGATGCCCCTTTTCTCGTATCATGTCTGCCAGAGGACATTTGAATGTTGCATGCTCATTACATGGTACAGAACATAGTGCGTGCAATGATTTTTTTTAGAGGTTGGCATCAGCGATGTGGACACGCTGCTCCATCCTTGATTGTGTTCAGTCAGCAAGGTAATTAAAAAAGACCAACTTAAGTTACGCCACACTAGCTCGAATGATTAAAACAACACCTCCGCAGTCTCGCACAACAAACATCCAGACCTCATTAAGAACGCCAGTGTGCTTCTGAAAGTTTTTAGGTTGCCATTGGTCTTTGGTGATTGGAGTCTTTTCATTAGCCCGTTGTCACAGCAGCTCATCACACTGGTTTGTTATAAAAGAACACTGTAGTTCTGATGAGAGTGGAAGGGGTCCTCATGGGTCCTGGCAATAACAGAGAATACAATGTTTGAAAAGTCAGTCAGTGATCATTTCATAAAAGCTCTACGAAATCCTTAAACAGTTCTGCTTAGTGGTCTTTATCATACACTATGTGCCAAAATTCAGGATTTTCCTCCACGAGCTGAAACATGCCTTCAGGCTTTTCATGTTGCTCCAGGCAATTGAGAACATTGAGAACCTAAAGGAAAGGTCTAAATCAGGCCTGTTGTGTGTAAAGTATCCCAGCAGTGTGCTGAATAGTTTTGAATAGCTTGATAGTGAGTGAAAATTGCTGTATGTTTTTTCAGTAAACTATTTGACTGACTTCCGCAGTGATGTTTGTCGTACAACTGCGATGTGTGTGACACTCAATGGGCTGTTTGACAGGTCACCTCACTGGTCAGGTCAGTGAGATACCAGGATTAAAAAGTAGCATAAAAGTGAGGAAAAAGTCAAGTTGTGTGATTGATCATGCTTGTGCATGCCTGAGCATGCTCTTTCCAAGAAATTATAAAAAAAAAGTGTGATGAATGTGAATGTGAATCTTGTTAAAAATGTTGCAAAGTTCAGCTCAATCCTCAAAGGGTAAGACCTTAATGAGGCAGACATTGATTATGTGTGTCCACGAGAGTTGGGTATCGAGTGAGACTCTCAGCAGGTTGGCTGTCTCTAAATCATGGCCTGAGTCAGTATGTGTGCTGATTACACCATAGTCAAGGTTGAACCTCCTACACCTTCTCCAATGTGCTATAAATATTCATATGGCGAAGCCCACACACTGTTCTGGACTAATAGCCTGCTTAAAGATGTCTCCCAGGTGCAGCAGAGAGAATGGGAAGATGAGGGTGACAAAAGAAAATTGTGGGAGAAGTGTGGATGCATAAATGTGAAACTTGTCAAATATATATATTTCTTTTGAAATATTCCATTTTGTTTAGCGTAAACAATCAGTTCCATCCACAACATGAGATTGAATCAATAGAGGAGACTGTGAATAAAGAGAAAAGTCAGGCAGTCACAATGCTGCCTGCCTGAGCTGAAAAGCTGCTCCTGGCACTTTTTTCCCTCCCCTTTTTTTTATTTGTACATTGTGAAAGGTGTGCGGTGATTCGACTAAGCGCCATGTAGAAACGTGAGGAAGTGGTAATGTTACAGATTATGCCCTCCATGCGGGTCCCGGGGTTAATGAAACTTCTGATGAGAAATGCAATTTGCCTTCGTCTATTATCTCCACTGCCAATAGCCTGTGCTCCGCCGCCTCGCCTCCTCCTCTGCAGCTCTTTCCATAGGGTGTAGTGATTGGTGGAAAGGGAAAGGAAGGAGACTTGTCTGAAAAGATTATGAGTTTTTAATCTTTCTAACATTTACATGTCCTACTCAGCACTGACATGGTCTCTGTCAATCTGGAATTGTCTCTGACCCTAACCAGCTTCTCTCAAGAACCCCAGAAAGTGTTTATCATATCAGAAGCTGTTCTGTGGCTGACCCTTTGGGCCCGCCAGAAATCAGAGGCCTCTCTGTGTGTGGCAGGAAATGAGGGAGTTACCAAAAAGTGTTAGAACTTGGAAACTTTTTGGAACAGCATCTATGAGAGCTTTTGTATTTTCAAGACAAGCTTTGATTGTTGTTAAGGACTGTTGATGTGGAAACGGCTTCACTGCGTTCATATAAATGAACATGACACGTTATTATGGCAGCCTTGTGTTTTTTTGTTTGTTTGTAGTGATGAGATTACGTTTCTTAGCACTTTTGTTAGAATATTTGGTTTCACTGCTGCAGAGCCGCATCATACTTCAAAGTGCACAGTGGTTCTCTCCACAGATTTCTCTTTTAACATTACCTTAACTCCATGACAACAACATTCCCTAGCTACAGTCAAAGTCAAGATTGGGGAGTTCATAAGCCCTAACAGAAACCTGTTTGTGTCCTTTTGACTGATGTGCTCATTACAATGCTTCAACTAAAACAGTTTCACCAGAACAACTGACGCATTTATTTCTGTTAAATTTGTATTGTACAGTCACAAGTGTTACTAATAATTCTGATGTATTGAGATATCAACATTAAGACACCAAAGTTAGTAATTTTCACTGTCATTTTTGTGGTTTTGGGTGAAATGACATGTTTGTTATCAGACGACCCCATCAGAGCCTCTGTCAGGTTTCAGATCTACAGGTTTTCTTCCTCCTCCTAACAGAGTTGCAATTAGACTCTCCTCTGGAGTGAGATCAATGCTACTTGTGAGTGCAGACAAACATGATGGATATGATAGTCTCACACTATGGACAGTTGGTGACAGCAGCCCGTCTTCCAGGATGTACTCTGCAGTGTAAAGATGTCACCCCCTCAATCACCTCTTCTCCTTCTTCTTATGTTTTTATTTCTGAACTCACTTAATCTTCCACTTTCTAATACCTTTCCATTTCCTTGACTGCACCAAATAGATTAGAGCAGATCGAAACTATTCGTTTGTTGCTGACAGGAAAAGTTTATGAATGGCAGAGATCAATAATTCTGAAGTTTAAGTAGCGAAATAACTTTGGAGAATGTTATTAAAAGTATTGGTGCAACAAAGTTGCAGAAAGAGCTGTAAAATGCTAGAATTAGATTTTTGTATCCATGACATCGCTTAAGTTAGCTCTGGCTATGTTTGTAACTAGAGGCCTGTAGCTCAGTTTCCAGCTATTTCTTTTTTTTAAATATATTTTACCACAATCCCCATGAAGACAACTGTCTATAAAAGCCATTTTAAAAAGCGTCTGTCTGACATTTAGTGATTTAACATCACAGTTGTCCTTATGTTCGGATGCTCATTTGTTACCATAGGTAAAATGTTAAATGTTTCTTGAAGCTTTCATTTTTGTGAAGTTTTATGTGAAATTAGAGACGGACACAATGCACAACACAGAGGACACAAAGATCAGTTCAAATTTCAGTTGGGAAAATCTCTCAGAATCCAGTAAGAATAGGTGTAGAGTGTGAGGAAAGCATGTACCTTAAATAGGCAGAGTGTCTACAGGGAATTTAGAGCTCAGCGTGGAAAGTCAGGAATTGTCTTCATTGTAAAGCGTGCTGTTGCATAAAAACACAGAGAGAACATGAACAAGAAGTGTCGCCGTGAAAAGAACAACCTGTTGGAGGCAGGCAGATGTTAGATCATGCTGATCCAAACATCAAAGCTTTACTGTAAATACAATTCTGGAGCAGAAATTGCTTCATAATCAATGTATCTTTTTTAGTCTAAAGAAATTGCTCTGCATATTTCTGGTGCTACTGTTTCCTTGTTAAGCTGATTAAAGTCTAACAAGGTTTTAGTATCCTGCACTTACAACATGTTACTCGGTAATAATAGACTGACATTAAGGATTATCCCATCTAACTAATGCTGTGGGAGAGTAATCTGGACACTTCCCCTTCCATCGCTGCAGAGCTGTAGCACGCTGTGTGCCACTTCTGTCTTCTGTGCACGTTTTGGCTTGGTCACTGGCTGGCATCTTTACTTTCATGCCTAATTACCTGCCGAGATAGACTGGTAAGGACATGGAGTCATACGTGTGCGTCGCCCCTGACAGGAATGCGCTACATAGACAGGGAGGTGTCGTGCTATGATTTTAAGTTGGGGGATTTGTGTTCCTCCTGGAATGTGTGCGTTTTACTAATGTTAGAAATATTCCCTGCCAAGCAAAGCAGGTTATTTTCCCTCAGTTTTTTTCCCATTTAAAAAGTGTCCACTGATATCTTTTGCTTGATATGTTAACAACAGCTTTTGTACATTTGAGGTGATTAGTTTTTGGACACTGTACAACATTTTGGAAAGGTTTTTTCAGAATGTGAACAATTATTTTTATTTGTCCTGTAACATTTTTAAGTTGATAATAAACAGATATTATAATTTTTATTTATTTCATTTAGAATAATGGCCTGTTCGAACCTCAAGTACTTTTATTAATACCTTTCAATGTTTTAAAGAATTTAGAAAGTAAATCTAATTTAACTTTGATTTAAAACATAATTTTTTGAAAATCCCCTCAAACTTTGACCAAAGTCTTTTAGGCAAAATCATATTTTCCTTTTTCTCAAAGTGATTAACATGCTAGCCTTGCTTAATAATTATATTGAACATTTTTAAAAGTGGCTGTGACTTAATAGATGGTTTCCTTCAGGGTTTTACTGTTTGGGGTTCTACGTCATAAATAATCATTGGTCTAAAGACTTCAAAGGTGGGGAAATCTGTAGAACAAATGTATAATTGGGAAGGAATATTCCTAAAGTTTGTCTGCTTTTGTGTGTCTGTGGTTTCCTTTCCTTCGATACAGATATGTACAAACCCCCACAAGTGACAGGAAATGGGCCCTTTCCCCTTTCACTTGCTTTTGATTTTGAACTTAAATACTCAGAATAGAATTTCACTTAATTAATTTTAACATTTTGAAAACTACGTGGATATTATATGTATTAGTAAATAGTATTGATAACCATGAAAGTCATCTCTAGGTCCAATGTTTGACCTGGTTCTGAATTTATGTTCCAATTTACTTTTATGGACAAAGAAATTGTAACTCATATTAATGCAAACTTTTAGTTGCAAACATAACACTCTTTTTTATTAACTTTTAAAACCATTCTTTACTTGTTGCAAAATGGCTGTTCTATTAGTATTTTTATCTTTACCTGTGTTTCTGTCTCATTGGTGATGGTTCCTTTTCCTTCTATCCACAGTGGATGAGGAGGCCCTGAGGAGGAAGATCACTGATGAGTTGTATAAGGGCTTGGAGCAAGACAGGGCCAAAGCAGAGCAAGAGATGCAAGCATGGTAAGACCTCTGCCCGCATGCTCTCATGAACACACACGCTTGTTCTAAAATGCTTTATGCTGCAAAACTTGTCTTATATTTAACAGCTTTTCGATCCTCAATGTGTGAATCTGAGTTTTTGAGTGTATTCTTTTTTTTCTTGCCGTCTATAATTCTTAGTCTAAAAAGGTTTGGAGCGTTTTGAGTGGCGAGAACAAGCTGACAGACGTGCAGCAGCTAGCAGGGAATCAAAGATTATATCCGAGTGCTGCACAGCCTCATTAATCTGTCGTTTTACTCCTTTAATTTTGCTGGTTTTCCACTGACTGAGTGATCGTGACGGCTGGAATCACACCACCACACTTGTGCTAATTCTTGTTCTGGATTTCCATGGGAAGGTTTTCACATGGGCCTGTTTTCAGCATTCATTAATAGTCATAAAGGTCAGCACCAGTCTTTCCGATCCCCGCTGTTTCCAATTTACCTCTCTTCCGAAGAACATCAGCACTTTTCCCTCCTTCTCTATCTGCTCTTGTCTTCGCCTCTCCTTCTCTTGCGATCAATTAATCATGTCTGAGAAAGGAGGGCACTATGCTGAGATAATTTCCTGGGACTAGAGTGGGTGATCCATTAGCCCAAGCTGATGCAGAAGCACACCCTGTATATCCATTCTCTTCTTCTCCATCCTCTTCACATAATCTCCTGTTCTCTCGTCATCTGTGCTTTTCTTTTGTCCCTCATAGTAACAGGTGTACATGTCATCATTTTAGGGATTGAATTGCTCCTTTACCTTGAGCAGGCCTCTCTGATAGCCAGCAGTCCTGGGCGTACAACTTCAATTCAAAACTGACATCTGCATGAGGAAAAATACATATTTTTTTAAATGCAAGGAATGAAGGGCTAACTTAGAGATTACCCTAGTTTTTGAGGCCCATTCAAAATGGGAGAAATAAATAAGCAGTTTCAAGAAATTGTTGGCTTATTGATTTTTCTTTTTTACTTTCTAGCTATTTCATTTTTGTGTGTAAGTGCTTCCTGCAGCAGTTATTGATGTCCATTCACAGGAGTAAGTGCAAATTACTCCCTCCTTGCTGTTAACTGAAATCATGGGGACTTTCAAGCCACCGGTTCTTATTTTTGTTTTACTTGGAGTAACCTGCATTTCCCTTCAACAGTACTTAATTGAAGATGGAATGGTAAATAAGCAATCTTCAGCTGGCCAGTCCTTTTGTGTGTGTTTGTGTGATTATTTTGTTGCAGATTATTCTAATATATCGTGTTGCTGTTTCCTGTTTTTTTTTTCTTTCTCCCGGCTGTTTTTAAAACCTTCTCAGTATCTAAATGGAGTAATTTAAAGAGGTTTTGCTTGAAACCAAAACGGTTTTTAACACTTTGAAACTGAATTTTAAAATATTTTAAATGTAAAGCTAGTAAAAGGACAAAACAAGTTTTAGTTATATTTTATATTGTTTTTAGTTTTTACCGCCTTATCAAGGAGACTAAGATGCTCTCTCTCAATTGAAATCGAAAGAGAGAAAGGCACAAAAAGCTGTACTTTGTCACTATTTGGGCTGTCAAAATACAATTTAAACAGTAGATGTGTGTTAAAGCACAAGCAGTTTCAACTGGGAGATTTTAGTTGTCAAAAACAAATGAGGCACAGCCACCATAACCTTTGCTGTGTTTCAGGTCACTGCAAAGGGAAAGAATTTATATTTTTGGCAGCAAAAGTGAGAGGAAAGACAGTTGTGGGCTCTGGTGTGTTAAAACCTGGTTAACGGTGCAGCACAGTGACTTGTGAGTTATTGATTACTGCTGTGAAACTGCTGCTCAGCATGAATACAGCAAAACATAAGATCATGTGAAAACCTGAGTGATCAGGAACGGATTCATTGATGCAGTTTATATCTACTTACTATTTACAGAGGGAAGAGATTCAGTTTTAATAATGATAACTGGTACGAAGAGAAATAAATGTATACATACAGACGTGAAACAATTATCATGGTGCAAGACCTGATCAATAACATCCTGTCAATTGCAGGCTTGCTATATGCACATTTTGAGTTTAGATTAGAAAGTATTCGTTTTGTTGGGTTTAGGAGCCATCAGTTGACACGAGAGGCCCAGAGTTTATCGGGTTCTTCCTCAACTAATTTGCAGGTAGGAGTGAGTACAGAGAGCGGTTTCTTGCTTCTGTGAGGCATCTGAGCTGAACAACAGAGGATGACAGTGAAAGTTTGATGAGGGTAAGAGAACTCGGCCTGAAATGTTTCTTTTTCCCGAGTCAGGCACATCCTTTGTCAGCATTTGTTCCATTTTTACTTGTTTTATTTTCCCAGACACATTTCTTTACCTTGCCCTCCCTGCATGTATCCCTCTCACCTTCTTTTTTTTTTCTTCTGTATTTCCAAAGTTTCTTCACGCATATGATGTTTCTTTTTCCTAATATAGGTTCTGTCTTTCACATGCTGTATTCTTCCATCTTGGTTATCTTTCATCCTTGAACCGAACTCCCTTTCTTTGTGTGAAATGCTCATGTATGAATGACCAACTCAACCCTCAAAGGTTAGTTGTTGTTTAGCAAGTTCTGCCCATTAGTTCAGCCTGTATTCAAGCAGCCTGTGTTGGCATCTGAGATTTAATTGCATGCCCAACTTTTGAGTGAAAACACTGACCTTCTCTCAGAGCCTCTGCCATCCTTCCTTGTTAACCAGCCCCTCTATTGAATTCTTTATTCCTTCTCGATTAGACATTTTCAAGCCTACAGATTCTTATGCTTTTGTTCATTTTTATCTTTACATCTACATATACACAATTTCTTTAAAACTTATTTGTGAAACAAGTTTGGAGGTTATTATAAAACTCTCGAGTTCCTGAATCCGATTTGAGAAAAATGTTTCTGTTGCAGTAGTTGTGAATCTTGCTTTATCTGAATCATGATTCTGACTGTTGCGATGCTCTGTAGTACCTTTTAATTCAAAGGTCTTTTTGAGTGTGATGCTGTTTTTGTTTTCATAGAACATCGTATGTGCAGGATATTTTAGTTTGAAGAAATGGGACATCTAATGTCACCATCCTGGTTTTAGCTCCATAAGACATTATGGTTAAATGCAAACTGATAGAAATTTGATCTTATAATCTACCATTTAATAAAGAGACAGTTTTCTAGAGTTGTAGGTTTGCTTGATGTGACAGTATTGTTAAGGTGACAGTATTATTATATTTCAATGCGAGATTGTGTGGTTATGATTCTTCAACTTTTGTGGTAGAGTAAGTTCATAGTTTAGATAATTTCCTTTTTGATATTTTTTATGTTTTGTTATTAGTATTCTAACATTATTATAACATATACCGAAACTGAACTCTGTAGCTCTACTTTACAATCAGATGTGATGTGTACATGTGTTTGTGTGAGTGTGCACGTGTGTAGGGGAGTGCAAACGGGGCCATGAAATATTCATAGCCACTATTTTGCAACATTATTCACAACATAAATATTGCATTGGGCCCTTAAATGCTTTTGTTTTAGGGCTGTTGGGAGAGCCAGTCCTGACATGCAGGTCTGGTGGAATGCTTCCTGGAGTTCTGCTGCTGATGGTGGGTCGACAGCAGGGTGCACAAAAAGATGGGAAGATGAAGACAGTTAATAACGGATGTTCAGTTAACTGGAAAAAGGCAGAAGTCATTTACATTTTTTAATATATTTGTTTGAGTAATTACGTTTTCATTCTTTCCTGATGGCTCAATGGATTTTACTTTTGTACTGTTGCTGATCATTTTTGACATGTGACAGAATCTGCCAGTTTAAAAGAAAAATATTTAGAAAAGAAGAAACGGCCTCAAGTACTAAATATTTCTGTTTAATGTTACTGGGAAGGTGGACACATTCAATTCATGTTGCTCCTCTTCAAATTTGTGATATCTCATTGCCCCATAGACTCGATACCTTTCCTTTCTCCAGCTTGGTTACTGTTTTGTCTGACTCGGCCTTTCTCATCATCAAACCCCCCCTTTCCTCCTTGTGCCAATCTTCTACAGTCGAATGAAAAATGCATCCAATATCCCAGAGACAGGGCAATAATGACTGGGAAGCAATAGAGGTGAAGCAGACAGATAGCATCCAGCTAGTGATAACAGTCTTTGCTTGTGTTAGCACTAGTGAAGGAGTCAGTAAAAACACTTTTTTTCTCTCTTTTTGTGCAGCGCGGTGGTATTTCTTGACCAACTTTATTTCCATTGTGCAGGTTTTTGTTTTTGATCACTCAAACATTTGATGTTCTCGGAATTTTGAAAATATTTTTCTGTCTGCTTCCCAGAAAAGAAAAACATTAAACCTTTTTCTGGTTTTTACTTTGGAAAATGTCATCTTAATACAAGTTGAGGCATCTAAACTCTTTGAATACAAGCACATTAAATTATTTATAAAGCATTTTACCTATAGGGCATAAGATACTTCTATATAAACTATATTCTTCCAGAATGTTTATTTAATCAAACGTTGCCAACATGAGTACCCTTTTAGAATACGTTTTAAGAAAGAAAATTGTCTTCTTTACCCTCCCCCTCTGTTGGAGTTCCAGCAATACCCACAGCTTCTTGAATAAAGGTGGCTTAGACGCATTAGTAGTACAGGCAGGGAGGTGTGGATCGAGAGGGAAATGGTGAATGTAAAAGGCCATTAGGAGGCTCCCTCATGTGTCTGTGTGTGCGTGAGTCAGAGCCTGATGATGGATGGAGTTTGCTGACGTGTGCAGCCCAGTGGACTGTGAGACTGGACATGGCTGGTCTCTCTCCGTCTACCTTCATCTCTTTCTCCCACTCTCTGCCACACTCCCTCTTTGCTTCACTTCCTCAGGGCCAAACATGTCATGTCGCCAATCCTCACGCCCTTTCCAAACTCTCGCACTTTTTTTCTCCGCACTTTTTCTCTCTCTCTCCCCATCTCACTGCAGCTCTGTTTACTGACATTTAGTTGCGTTGCAGGGCAGATGGCAGCTTTAAGACATCAGGTATACTTTTGCTACACCTACCTGTCATCCATTCAGAGCTCAAAGTAGGGTGATCTGTTTGACCAGTCTGCCCATCACTATTCATCACTGTCTATATTTTGTGTATGTTCACGGGTGACTGAAGAGATAAATGAGATTTTTGCAATAGAATAAAGGATGAAAACCTATCACTTTGAAGGATGTGCTTGTAATATGAAGAATAGCCGAGCCGAGGGGTAAAAAATACACAATACAAAAACACAGTATGCACCCCTGTAAACTATTTACTCGAGGATAGTACATTCAATTGTCATAATGAGCAATTGACAACTCCACGGAGGCTATAAATGACTCATGTTGCTTCAATGTTCAATGTGAAAACTTGTGATGGAAAGCAAAGACAGGCCTTTAGTATGTTAAATACTGTTATGAATATCTGTTCAGTTACAACTATGAGTGTAAAGAAAAGACAGGTTCAGGGTAATACATCACATTCCCAGTTACACTCAGGCATCGGCTGTTTCTTCAGGTGCATCTTCCTCTGGTACGCAGATGGTTACTGAAACCTGCCGCGTCTTCATTCACCCTGTCATAGTTCGCCCCAGTGCTCCCACTGTTTTTTGTTTTTTTTGTGTTTTTTTGTGTTTGTTTTATCTTGGCTCGATTGTTTTGATTTCTTATAGAAGAATACGTTCAGGGGTTTCAGGGATGTTCCTCCTTATTCAATCAAGCACACTGTCACTGAGAAGGGAGTGTGTTGCTAGGCAACTGTGAGAACCCGGTGACAGGGTTCAAATGGTGGTTCTGTGTGTGCAGAGAAAGCTCTGCCTCCGTCAAACCACTGCTTCACAGGGCTGATGGTTGTTAATTAGACTAGCGTTACATAGTGATAGTCGAATCCCTTTGTGGAATTACTGGCTTCTCATATCAAGTGCTTCTTTGTCAGGTTATCTGACTGTGATCCATTTCTGCTGCACTCAGATTTGATATGAAACTTCCTCTTTAGAAAAAAATGTATCAAACACACTTTTTATTTCATTTTAATGCAACAAAATGGGTTTGAATGTATCAAATAAAAGATGATAATGATTATTTAGCTGACTCCTTACTTGTAAGTGAAGTTATTTCCTCTTCCGACCCTTTGGTGTCTACCGTGCAGAGGATACCGGAGTGCTGTTAAGTAGTGGACTCTCATGGCAGAACTTAAGTTATATATTGGCACTAGAAAAAGGGAGGAGGCAGCAGATATATAGAAACTCTAGGTAGTGATCAAATCCTGAGGGGAAACTGGCAGAGGATTGGCATTCTTGCTGCACAGGTGGCCCAGACAGAAAAATCAGTGAGGAGTCCCGCTACATTTCAGCCCCTCCGACAAAAAGAAGCCTGATAAAGCAGTCCTGTCGCTTCCTAAACAGATGTACTAATCTGATGAGTCTGTTGTATTTCTTTTTGTCGGCAGATATTTGTCTTTGACATTTTCGTCATGGTTATTCCACCGTGCATTCCTTTCCTGTTGTGTTCTCTTTAGGATGCTTTAGATGACATACAATAATATGCAGATTTATTCTTAATTTGACCTTTGAGTGCTTTTTGTACCTACTTTAGGAACTGTGCTTGCTGAAATAATTGTTGTTTGTGCTCCACAGGTTTGATGCAGAGAAAGCCCGCACATCTGCCCAGGCTAAAGCAGACGTCCAGACCCAGGTTCGAGCTGAAGTGTCCCGGATCCTGTCTGCGGAGAGGGCGGCGGCCCCAGATGGCCTCCAGGAGGCTATTATAAGGGAACGCATTTCCACTGAGGATGAGAGACTCCGTGCACAGCTATTTGTAAGTTGTTCTTCTTTTTTTTGCTAAACTGAATTGAGATCTTGAACATTATGCAACATTTTGAAATGAAGATACAGGGATATCAAATCAGATGAGGTGAAGTTTGTAGATTTAGACTTTCTTTCAGAATGAAGCCTGCCTGTGTTAAAAGATCTTCACGTTGTTAATATTTCATGAATGCTACATCAGACTCATGTGACTGAAGAGCAGCGAACAAAAACAAACACAAAAACAAAACAAATCCGCTCAGCTTTCAGTGAGCGTTTCAAAGAGCTCATGTGTGGTCACACGGTATATAACTCATGTCTTACTGCTCATGGTTGCTGGCACAGCAATAAGTGGTAAAAAGGTTAATTGCATCACTGTCTACAACGTCTTACTCTCTTTTCCCCCCTCATTTTTAAGCTGATGTTATCATAAGTTACTTCCATTCACACCAGTTTACTATAGGCCAGATTTCCATGGATGAAACTAATTGTTAAACATCAAGTTACTCCTTTTCTCCAGGAAATAACTTTTTGAGTTATCTTGAAGTTAAGCAAGAATATTGTCACAGAAAAGGTTTTCCAAATCCCCAAGACTAAAAATGTTGAAATCCAATAGTCATGCTTGCTTTGATGCATCAACAAAATGAGGGATAATCTTCTTTTTGAGGCTATATTACATGCTTGAAGCTGGTGTGCTTGTCAGTTAAGTAAGTATGTAAGGAAGTGTGCAAGTTCTTTCTCTCCTCTATAGTAGTTTGTTTGTCTCTACAGAACAGGGTATTTTATCTTAACTCTGGCTTTTGGTATCTTTTGAGAGTACACATGTCCAAATGTTTTAAAATATTATATTTTAAGCATTTTTTGCCCTGCAATCTTATAAAATGCACAGGTTCTTCAACATCACAGAAGTGTTTAGGGCAGCCTCAAGTCACACAGTCATCATCCAGTAAATGAGTTCTGAGTTTGAAAACCACAACATCAAAGGGGAAGTACATTTAGCTGATGGACAGATGGAAATCCGAGCCTTGTTATCAGATACAAACAGCTGTTTTATGATCTTGCAAGCACATCTTTGTTTTTTAAAATGAAATTCCTGCTCTGTTTCTCTTGTGCTCGAACTTGGGACTATAAGGTGCTGCCATGGATGAAAGGGTGTGGCATTGTATGGCTGTGAATACAGTAACATTGATGTCTAAAGTAATTAATTGAAATTCATTATAGATCTCCATTATATCTACATTGTACTGACTCTTGGAGCCTTTGAAGTTCTTTCTAAACATCATACAATCATGCAGTGAATAAAAATGTCTTAACTATCATTTGATACAGTGCACTTCCAAATCTCTGCCTATTCATCCCGCAATTGTTACAAAAACATTCTCTTTATTTCCTGTAAATTGCCCTTGTAAATATTGTCAGACCGTTTCAGCCATGCTCAGGCTGTGCATTGTTTACAAAAGAAAACACATTGTCCCTGGAGTGTGGCCGCTGTTTACAAACCTATGCTATTGATTATATAGCTCATTTCACACGCTCATCGCAGTAATAGAAAAATGTTGTTGAGACAAAGAGAAGCGTTGACGTGATTCCTCGCCAAAGGACAAGTGTATGAGGAATCTCTCATTTGGAACGCTTTCAGACAGAAAGGAAAAAAAAAAGTGATGAGAGAGTGCTGGGGAGGGAGGAGAGACCCTTGATTTGATGTTGGATTTTTTCACTTTGCCTTCAGCATCTGTGAAGAACGTTTCAGTCACAGGTTTCCTGTAATTTGATTTCATATAGGGTGTAACAGAGGAAACATAAGGAGAAAAGATTGTTTGGAGAGAAAGAGGCACAAGAAAGTAGTACCTGCTTTGTACGTGTTTTGTATGTAGTGGAAAAGTCTGTGATGTCTCTTACTTGACTCTCATAGCACAAAATGTCCTTAATGCACCCAAAGTGCCCATTCTCTGAACTTAAGAGAACATTTTCCTTCTTAGGCTCTGAGGCTATTTCTTCCATCCCCACAGCTAACCCGAGGGCCATTAGCAGCCTTTAAAACTACTCAGAGAAAATGCTTTAGGAGCTTTGCATTCAAACCTATAAAGTCATACAGTTTATTTCATTACTGCCTCTGTTTCTGTTTATGCCCAAATGCAGTTAATTTTTGTCCCAGTTAGTCTCTTCCTCCAGACAGCAGACAGAGTGCAGCTAAAACACACTCACTCAATGTGAGTCTGTGTGATAATTTCTTCCATTTGAACGTTCTTTGGAATTCCCGAGTTTTAATAGAATCCGACGGGTTATCAGTGGAGGCACACTGCCGTTTGCACCACTCATGTAATTGTCAAGACAGACGCTTCCACGCAGCCAATGTTCTTTTCAACTGGAAATGGACTTCTCACATTTTTAAAGGCAGCCTCTCACCCAAGACGTACCCCACCTATTGTCATTTTGCTCTGTCTTTGTCAAGGTCCAGCACTCTCTGCTACCCACTGCGAACCTTCTTTTTGATAAAACAAAGAGAACATAAAACAAGTTTGGCTTCTGTGCCTGTGTACATCTCCATCTCCTGCCTGTCTCCGTTTCTCTCTGGAACTTAATTTTTTTTTCCTGAAAAATAGGAAGCATAGAAAGACCAACTACTGAATTGTTTAGTGTGAATCATAATGATAATGTACTGATATTTGAGTCTTGTTTGTTTTCACATTTTTTTAACCACCCTTCTCATCAAGTACATCACCTCTTCTGCACAGTGCACCCCGAAAATCAAATTTACATTGTTTATGAGCGCATAAACGTCTATAATTGGAAGGTGAAACTCATTCTGATTGCCAGGCAAAGTCAATAAAGTGATCGAGTAAGGGCTCCAGGGAGAGGTTATGGCTTGCAGTACTAAGCACATAATCTGGTGGCTGATAAGCTTTAAAGGGAGATTTATATAGTCCTTTTTCAAGTAATCCTTTTCCCATCTCATTTGTTTACGTCTAGGTTTATTAGAAACACCAAATCTTCCTTTTTTTAAACTCCTGTGTTCAAGTGAGTCTTGCAGATTTTATTTAACCAACTTTAAAGCTAAATGGATCTTCCATTGTAGTTCTAAAAATAATCGAGCTACATGTGTTTTTCATTGATGCTTTACTGTTTCTACTTACCTGTAATGTTGCACTGTGAATGTCAGTGTATCTTTAAGGCACAATACATTTTCTGACATAATTTTAGTTTGGACTTAACTTGAGTGGGATTGAAATGAACCCATCTCACATGGTTATCGCCACAGAGAAAATAAACCCTTACTCCATGGCAGCTTCACTCGTGTTCTTCTTCCAGCGTTTTATTGATTTGTCCCTCTCATTAAGGTACAGGTCACAGTGAGTGGTGGGACCCCATACGTTCCCTTCTCTTCTTCAGTTACAATGAGAGCAAGATTCTGAGTTGTTATGCCTCCCCACGCTCGCCTATAATGGCCATAACTTTCACAACCACAGCAGTACCAATTACAGAGACATCCATTGTTGAGATATGCCCCAAGATATGTGTTAGATGAAGATTGGCCACCATTTACAGGTTATTGATTTAGATGCTGGTTATTTTAGTTAGTTTGTTTTATTCTCTCTCTATTACAGATCACAGTATTGCCATTATATTAGTATTTCGTGTGAAACCAGAGGCACCTGGTTTCACACGATGGGAATACAGTTCTTTTGCTGTCTGCCCTTCCTATATCAGTATTGGAATTCTTATTTTGTAAATCCAAACCCTGTCAACTACAATTTATGTTATGTATGCTACAATTTACGGCAGGGTGTGGTTTCTATCGAGTCATGAGCCGATCTTCGTCCTCGCGTGACTTTCCTACAACAGTCCTATTGGAAACTTTTAGGCCTGTCTTTATTTAGCCTGAGGGAAAAGAATACAGACTTCTTGGATCGGCATGCTAGAGAAATGTTTTGCTGCCTCTTTGAAACTCAATTGTAAAAAATATCAGGAAACCAAAAATGAATTTTCCATGCAAATTAAAGCGCATTCAGCAAATTAGTTGAAGTGTTAATCGATCACATTTTCTCCTCTGTGGAATAAAAGTTGTTTCATACCACCCTTCTGATTGGCCGCTCGTATACATGGATTACCCCTGTCATTAATATCCTCCTGTTACAGTATAGCAAAGCAGGTCTCTCCTGTTGTCTATAGTTGGTTGTTTTACACATGGCTGGGATTATCTTAGTTTAGTAAATGCTTTTATCCAACAATTGGGGACAACATCAGGTTCAATATGTCAATAAGGAAAGTTGGGAAACAACTCAATGAGCAGCTCAATTCCTTTTGAAGGGTAACCACACAACCTCCCCTAAAATCTCTGATCAATATCTCAGTCTCTGTCATTTTACTGATATTTTATAAGCCCCAGGCCAAGGCCCTGAGTCTTGTTCAGTCTGCCTTCGATCTGTCCCCGTTTTGTTCTCTCCATTGCATCTGTCTGTATCAAATATGGGAGACCCCCCCCAACAGAACACTAGTCAGGGAACACTCCTGTGGAGGAGTTTTTATCATCTTTCCGATGGGCTGAAATACAGATTATTTTGATTATTTCTTATATTTAGACACCAATTCTTGAAGAATTTTACTGCTAGTACCTTTTTAGTTTATTTTTCTTTGTGTTTTTTGTTAGTATGACCACAATAATGTTTTATGACTCACAAGTGAAGCCAGAGCACTGGATGGTTTGCGCCCCTCCGGTGGGAATGCCTTTTCCTCTGTCATTCCCCACACCACCAAGCTGACTGGCAGCAGTCAGCCAGCAAGTCTACCGGTAATTGAAACTTCACACTAGTGTAGGCAGGATTGTTTGTTGCCATTGTCGGTAATGTTGGGTTTCTGGGGTTCTGTTGTCTGAGGGGAACATGTTCAGCGTCAGCGGTCACACGAGTCCTGTCACTCAGCAGGAGCCACAGTAAAGCCAATAGAAACACATGCATAAACATGTGCTAATGTTAGTTTGAAGTGTAGCAGTAAATACACAGCTGCGGTATGGAC